GTACTAGCAACTTCACCCGTGTGACCCCAGTACTTTAGCAATGAGGGCCCATCGGGGCGTGTCTGGGATCTCTGGCAGACCCACAGGAGGGAGGCAGGGCCGAAATGCCACAGCGAAGGGAAGCTTCTACAGAGCTGGAGTTCGGGCCATTGCTCCCTGGAGATGGTGCCTCTGGGGAGCATCCTGGAAGAGAGGAACATGCCCCGGGTGGCAGCCTCTCGGGGCCAGCCCTGCCTTCAGTAGCCCTCGCTGACCTGTACCCCAGAGGAGAGGGGCGGGCTCCTGAGGAGGAGGACTCCCTGCCGTGGCGTTCCTGGGAGAGAGGGCGCTCTCCAGGCCCTCAGCACCTTCCCTCTTTCCTCGCTGCAGTACGACGACGGCAGCGGAATGAAGCGAGAGGCCACCGCAGACGACCTGATCAAGGTTGTGGAGGAGCTGACGCGGATCCATTAGCCAAGGGCAGGAGTCCCTCCCAGGCCCCCCCCGAAGGCTTTGCCCTCCTGCCTCCCCTCCCCACCACTGTCTTCTCGGCCACGGGAAGCCTTTCCCTAAGCCAGCTGCCCCAGGGCCACAGCCACCTGTGTGGAAACGGGGATTTCTTAGAACTAAAACCAGTTCACTGGACACCTGGCTGAAGGACAGGCTGAAGGGGAAATCATTTTCTCCCTGGATTTTTACCAGTCACATGATTCCAGCCATCACCTGGGGCCACCAAGCCTTGATTGGTGTTGCAGCTTCTCCTTCCAGGGAGGGATTTTGCAGCTCTTTGGCCGGAAGGAAGCTCTGTGTGTCTCACCCATGCATTATCCTCTGCTATCTTTTTATTTAGGTTGGGGGTGTGGGGAGGTTGCGGGGAGAAGGATGAGGGGCGGGAAGGGTTCACTGTCTTTGAAGTGAGAGCTCCCTTTTTCTTGCTTCTGTTGCCTCTGAGAGCTTCGGGTCTGGAGACCTGACCACAGGCCATGGGCTGCCTGGGTATAAAACCCGGGGATGGCGGATGACCCCCAAGCCACAGCCTCTTTGTCTCTGGGGAACTCCCTTCTTCAGAGAGAAGGAGGCGGGCGGACGTGAATTGGTGGTTAGTTTCTGAGTTTTACCAAATAAAGTAGAATCTAAAAAAGATCCATTCGTTTCTGCTTTTTTTGCCGGTGCCCAGCGCTCCAGCATCCTGGTCATATTGTGCCCAGTTTCCTTCAAATTCATTGCCCACGTCTATGGCAGCTGCAGGCACTTGCTGCTGGAACAAATCCTCAAGCTTGCTAGTAAGATAGTATCTTTACCTCTCCTTTGCCATGTGGGAGCCTACAGGTGGTGGGCATCAGGTGTTTGAAATTCTGTGGTCTTTGATCGCCTTTGGTCATCACCTGATAATCCCAGTTGCCTCTGTTAGTGACCTGTGGGCTGGGGGCAGAGGTGGTAGTGGTGGCTTGGGCTGCCTTTCCCGGCGTCGTTTACAGCCAGGTGCAGCCTCTTGTTGACCAGCCCGCAGGTACTGCCCCTTGGCCATGGGCAGGTAGCTTACTCACACACTTCCCAGCTTCCTGTCATCACGTACCCTTTGCATTCTAGTTTTACGTCCTCTGGTTTTAGTCAAGTAAACCTTTGTTGCCTTTGGTTTGAAAATACAAGCGTAGGGCACATTTCGGGTTCCCCTTACTGTCCAGCAAACAGCCGGTCCTCTCAGCTCAGTGGGTCAGCGTCCGGGCCCACTTCTCCACCAGTGACCCAGTGGGAATAAAGGCTACTGTGTCCCAACAGCGGAGCCAGGCTGGTCCCAGGCATACTGGCCGGCTCCTTTAAGACCAGCCTTTGATATGCTGTCAGGAAAGTTGTGGTTTCAAGTTCAAACTGTGGTTTTGTGAGATTCTAGCTTAAAAGCAAAAGGGCAAGGAAGCATCGCTGCTTTGGGGGTCTCCCGGAAAGCTTCCTTCCTTGGAGGCGCTCCTTGTACTTCATTACCGCTCTCCTGCCCTTGCTCTCCTGGGCTTTCTGAGGGTGGGGAATAAGGGTCTTAAGGGAAAAAAATAATCAGCATCTCTCAAAAACCACAGTTTGAACTTGAAACTCAACACTGTGATTTGAAGCCTTCAAGTCATGGTTTGAATTGAACAGGCCTGCCTCCGTGCCAGGGACCGCTTTGAGGAGGCAGGCAAGCAGCGGTCTTCAGGTTGTGATTATTTTAAAAAGTTAATCTTAGACGGGAGGGTGGATAATAAGGTGCCAAGATCAGGAAGACAGAATGTAGCGTGATGTGTTCTGGTGCCTCTTAGCGGTCTGACCTGCCGCCAAGGAGACCTGCTGTGCTGAGTAGAAGGTTATCACCTATCAGTGGCTTCAGTCATGACTTTGGAAGCTGCGAAGTCCTCCCAGTTTTGTTCCCTGCAATCTTGGGTATATTTGCTCAGGATTGAATTCCAGCAATCTTTTGGAAACTTGACATCGTGCTGCCATGCTTTCACATCCCCCTCCCTGCCCTTGGAAACCATTGCTCACCGCTCCGGGGCGAAGGGTTGCCTGTGGAGCTTCGCCACAGCCAGCTGGAGTGGCTGCTGCCCATGCAGGCGCAGAAGCGCCAGCCTCACTCCAGGCCTCTGCACGGGCGGACCTTTGGGAGAATGATAGAAACACTGACTCATCCCATGACCATTTGGAAGGGCCACAAGCCAGAGGCCTCCCTTCTGCAGCCAACAACAGCTTGGATCCTCCGCCCTCTGCGGAGGGTCCCTTTTGTTACTCAGAAGCCACAGCCACAGAAGCGGGGAGGCAACACTGAAGAGCTGGAACTAAGGGACATGCCCTAACTAGTCCTTGAAGACGACCCATGTTAATAAGCTAGAGTCTCTTAGGGGCCAACTTCGAGCCTTGGGCCAAACAGACCAAAGGACAGGCGAAAGGACAAAAGAAAGGGAAAAGCAAACTAAAAAAGCAAATTGTTGATAAGAGGAGCAAGATGAATGCCATAAGGTCGGAGAAGCTGGGGAAATGGGAAATGCCAGGGCTGTTTGGAAAGTTGTTTCGAAACGAGCCAGTAGGAATTTACGACATCTCAAATACCCTGCGCTCCTCCTGAGGGTGGATGAGGACTTCCCTGAAGCTCAGTCCCACTGTGGGGCAGACCCCGCCTGGTTAAGGGCTGAGGTGCAGGGCACAAGTTACGGGAGCAGCAGATAGAGCTCATGTGTGCTGGGGTGTGGGAGGAGCTGGGACGAGGTGTGACTGGCATGTAAAAGGAAACGTTTGTCCTGTGTAAATGTGAGAATTTGTGGGTGGCTTCCGGGGCCAGGATGGAGCGCCTCTTTGACATCGAGGGGTGGTCTAGGTAGGAATAAGGGCAGTGTTGTGATAGATTTGTGGGCCCGATTGAGAGAAGGGCTTTATCTATACGTATCACTGTTCTCGAAGAATTCAGAGCTAGATTTGTGACTGGTCATGGAAGGTGGACATGGAAGCACTTCGTGAGTAATGGGGAAGAAAGCAGTGTGGGCAGTGGAGGGAGACGCTGGACCTCCAGGTGTCTGAGGCTCCGAGGAAAGATGCCCTACGATTCTGACGGTGCTCGGGACTCAGAATGCATGAAAATATGGAAGCTGCACTCGACTTAGGATACAGGACATTTTCGCAACCTACTTGGTGCGAATTTGTTGCTTAGCTTAGGAGAGGGATCAAATCTAACAAGGTGAGATAACCAGCCTGAATTTGAACATCTGCAAACGTTCAACCACACGGGTTCAGGGAGGGTGATCGGCTTAGCAGCCTGTGTTTAATAAACAATGACATAAAAACATGACAACGCTTGAGGTTTTCCTTTATTGTAGACTCTGTTATGAACTAACAGCATCACAGGGTTGCCCCCAAGGCCAAGGAATATGAAGATGTGTTAATAAAACTGGTGTCTGAAAGGAAGAACGCAAGAATCCAGGCTACTGCTGGCACACCGTGTTCATTTACGGCCACCAATGTTGAGGACCTCAGTGACAGGTTGAGGTAGCAGTGGGCGGCAACTGTAGAGGCAGGAACAAGGGAATGGGTTATTTAGGTGGGAAGTAAAAGCGCTTCCTATTGTTCTCCCTTTTGACAGGTAGTGAGTTCCTTATCCCTGGAAGTGTTTAAGCAACCCTTGCCTAATTGGGTCCTTGACTAACTGGGTGGCTGGGGAAGACTCCCCGCACAGAGCAGAAGGCAGAATTTCAGTTCTCCGGTCATTCTTTGGGCTTTCTCCCAGCTGGATGACCCTGACCATCCATGCCACCTGCTCCCCACTTCCCCGCCTACCACTCTCTGACTGGCCTGGGGCAGCTGCAGAAGGCGGCAAAGAAGAGCCTGTGGGTTCAACACCTGCTAGTTTCCCGTGACGAGGGAGCAGGTGGACCCACTGACTCACTCACCCAGGGTTAGGGGGTAGACCTGCCGGCAGGCTGGGTGGGGGCAGGCTTAGAACTACCCAGCAGTGAAAGGACCCAGAGTCCTGGGCACGGAATTCCACACTTCCCACCCTCGGACGACACAGGCGTCCTTGGGCTCCACCGAGACCAGCAATGCCGGGGACGCGCAGCCTCCAGAGCCAGCCTTGTTCCCGAAGTCTCTTCCCTTCCCGGGCCTCAGTCTGACGCCCACAGCCCTTCTCAGGAAGCCGACTCCCAAACCCGGGCAGGGGGTGGGGGCCAAGGGCTAAACCCCGCCTCCAGGGGTCCCTGATCTTTGACCCCGCCCGGGGCTCCGCGCCTCCTACCCTGGAGGCCACCGGCAGGCGGGAGTCACTTGCCTTTTGTGTGTTTGGCTCGGAGGTGCCAGAGACCCCCCAGCCTTGCGCAGCGTCCCCTCGCGGGCCCCCAGCCCCTCCTCTCGGCGTCCCCAGCCCCCCTGCTCAGCTTTGCGTGCCAGCTCGGGGCTCGCTGGTTCGCTCCCCGCGGCGCCAGGAGGAGGGGCGAGGGCCGGTAGCCCCCTCCCCCGTGCGCGGAGCCGGAGCCCAGCCGAGCCGGGGGGACGCACCGCTGCCGGTCATGTGGGCCGGACTGTTCCTCCGGGCCGCCTGTGTCGCGCTCCTGCTGCCGGGGGCCCCAGCCCGCGGCTACACTGGGAGGAAGCCGCCCGGGCACTTCGCAACCGAGAGGTAAGCACCCGAGACCCTCCCCTGCCCCGCCGCGGGGGCGCTGTCGGTGTGGAGCAGGGAGGCGCGGAGGGGCGCTCGGAGCCGCTGGCAGCTGCGAATAGGGGCTCCGCTCTGGGGTTCTGTCCGCGCGGGCGCAGCCCAAGGGGGACGGACAAAGAGACTGCAGCTTGTGCCTCTGAGCGGGTGCGTCTTCTGTGCCCCCGTCCGGGGCTGTCCTGGCTGGGACATCGAGGGGAGAGCGGAGACCCAGGCGCTGGATGAGCCCGTCCGAGTCCGCTCTGCAGCGCAGACCTGGGGCGAGGGGAGCCCGGGATGTGCCACCTGGTCTCCAGATTGGCTGGCTTCGCTTGAGAACGTGCTGGTGCTTCTGCCTTGGCGGGGCCTGGCTCCCCGCGGCGCCGGTCGCTCCCGGGAGGGGGCTTTCCCTGTGTGCAGGCTCTGCGCACGCCGTGGACCTTGGAACCGCCGGGGTCTCTCCAGGTTATGTTTCGGTTTCCGCCTGTGTGCGCGCGCGCGCGGGCGCGCGGGCGGGGTGGGGTGGGGTGTTTGTCCCTTTGCTCTTTCCCGACGGATGCCGCCTTCCTCTCGGGTCTCCTGCTGGCGGAAGCCGGGCTGCCGCGGGCCGAGCGCGTGTGTGCGTGATGCTCCGAGCGAGGGAACGCGGCGTCAGCAGGCAGGCGGCCTGGCCCTCGGCCACTGCCTGGGGAGGGGGGGCGCACAGGGGGCGGCCCCGCCGCTCACACGTGTGTTCCACCGACACCGCCAGTTCTTGCTCCCATCCGGCAGGCTGCGCGCGTTTCAGAGCGTTCCTGCCACCTGTCTCCCCGCCATGGCCCGCCCTAGGAGACTCCTGGGCATTCTAACATCTGCCACTTTGGTGGCATCCCTGTCCCTTCCAGAGCCGGGTCTGAGGGGCGGGAGCTGCCGGCTCCTCCTTCCTAGGCTGCTGACAAAATCACTCCAGCGAGGGCAGTGGATGGGACATCACTGTCAGTTCCCACCCCCAGGGCCCCGTCTTTTTTCTGCGATGACTTCAGAGAGCAAACAGGCTCTTTGCGGCCCCAGGGACAGTTTTCTGAGGCCGTTTCTGTACTGCCCTGTGCTCCGAGCTTCCCTTTCAGACTGCATGTCACACTTGGCACCGATTATTCTCCCCGAGGGCGGGGTGGGTCTGTCTTGTCCACCCGTGTCCTCAGCCCCGACCTGCAGACTGTTCCTGGCAGCCTCCAGCCAGGTAGAGCACGGGTGGGAGGGGGGTTCTGGGCCCTCTCCTGTCGCGTGGGCTTCCCCTGCCCAGACCGTCACCAAGGACTGGTTGTAGGGATGCCCTCCGTTTCCCTCCAGGCCTGTGCCCTGTGCCTCCTCTGGCCCGGGCGCCCTCCTGCACTTGCACTGGCTGCCCCTGCGCCGCTTCCCCACCTCAGCCTGCCAGGAAGCCTGACCCTGCTCTGGGCTCCAGAGCCAGTCCCTTTGTGGCACTTATCACAGTATGCGGTCATCACCTGGTTCTTCGGCTGCCCAGTGTCCCCGAAGGTGGGGAAATGACTTGCTCATGGCTGTCAGCTGTGCTGCTGGGCTGCCTCACCCAGCGCCTGGTTCCCTTTCACTCCTCTGGGCCGCTCGCTGGCATCCCCACCCCCACCCCAGAGGTGTCACCAGGGGAATGACATCTGTCCAGCCCCCTCTTGGGGCTGCCCTCCCTCTTTTCTGCTGGCTTCCATTCTCGGCCTTTCCCTCAACAGCCATTTATTGAGCACCTACTGTGTGGTGGGTACTGCTCTTGGTGCAGGGGTGAACAAGGACGAAGCCCTGTCCTCAGGGTGTCGCTGGGGAGACAGGCAATGAACAGATCGACAAATTAATAAGGAGTGTATCGTCCCAGGAAGTGAGTGTTAGGCAAAGAATAAAGCCAGGCAAGGGTGGACAAGGCGGGCCTCTCTGAGGAGGTGACATGAGCAGAGAGACCTGGGTAAAAGGAGGGAATGATCCGGTGGGTGTTGGAGAAAGAACCTTCTGGAGAGAGGGCGCTGCAAGTGCAAAGGCTCCTCCCCGGACTCTTCATCCACTGCAGTTTTTCCTCCTCAGCATGGAGGCCCCTCGGAAGCCCCCCTCTCTCGGCCACTCTTTGCTCTGTGATCCTGGGGCAGTAATCTGTAGGACACTGGTGTCTTTGTCTTTGTCCTGCTTCCAGGACAGGCTGTCAGGGTCTTCTTGCTTTGGAAACTTCCCATTGTGTCTCCCGAGGGTCTCAAGAACTGTTTGTTGACTGACTGACTTGCTGGGTTGGGGGACTTTCACTCTGTAGACCTGTCCGAAGGTGGAACGTGTTCCTTCCTCTCTTTGCAGGCGCCGGCTGGGCCCCCACGTCTGCCTCTCAGGGTTCGGGAGCGGCTGCTGCCCTGGCTGGGCGCCCTCCATGGGCAGTGGGCACTGCACCCTTCGTAAGTGCCTGCCTCTGCGCCCCAAACATTCTCCCCAGCTGGGCGCTCATTCCCCGGGACTGGCCTGAGGGGAATGAGCGCCCAGTCTCCGCTCCCTCACCTGCATTTCTCCTCTCAGCCCTGTGCTCCTTTGGCTGCGGGAGAGGCATCTGCATCGCTCCCAACGTCTGCTCCTGCCAGGATGGAGAGCAAGGGGCCACCTGCCCAGGTAACTGGGGGCGGGCAGTGGCTCATGGGAAGAACTCTGTTAACTGAGATCATGTGCCAGATGCTGGGCTCTTGTGTCCTCACATATCATCTTCAAACCACCCTATTAGAGTAACAGGTGTTCTTATTTCCACTGTATAGATGAGGAAATGGGGGCACAGAAATTAGTGGCTCGCCCAGGGTGACATGGCTAGTAAGTGACAGAGCTGGATTTAAACTCAGGCCTGTTTGCCTCCAGAGGCACCTTCTCAACAGAATTCAGGAGGAGCCCTGGGGGGGTGGGGGCGGCCGGGACAGCGGCGCGGTGCGTGCTCATGTGTGCGGTGCCTGTTTCAGAAGCCCACGGACCCTGCGGGGAGTACGGCTGTGACCTGACCTGTAACCATGGCGGCTGTCAGGAGGTGGCCCGAGTGTGCCCTGTGGGCTTCTCGATGACAGAGACAGCTGTTGGCATCAGGTGTGCCGGTGAGAGACCTGGGAGCGGTGGGGGCGGGGCGGGCAGGAATTGTGACCCCTCCCCCTCCTGCCAGGGTGGCCTCCAGAGAGACGCCAGAGCAGAGGCGAGTGGGCAGGGAGGTGTGCAAACCAAAGGGAGATGTCCCTCCTGCTCTGTCACAAATGTGCGTTCAGCACCTCTTATGGGCCAGGGACTGAGCTGGGCGTGGGGACGACGAGAGCGTATCACACAGAGACAGAATGGGACTGGGACTGGTGACGTGCAGGGTGGGACCGGAGGAGGGCTGGCTGCAGAAGCCTCCCTCGGGAGTGACCTTTGAAAGGTGAGGAAAGCAAAACCCAAAAATTGTGTTGTTTGGTCATGGTTTTGAAACATTCCTGCTGACGGTCTGTTCCCCTTCCCCAGAAGCAGCCACTGTGGCCAGTGTCTTGCTCACCTTTCCAGAGAGGGGAAGCCTCTTTCTGAGGTTTGATTTTGTAAACATCGTGTTTCTTCCCCTGATTACAAAAGTAAAAAAATAACTTACTTTGGAATATTTGGAAAATATTGTAAAAGAAGGGCAGTAGGTGAAAAATAAACCTAATGTGTCCCAGAGGTCCCTACCCAGAGATTATGTGTCACAGAAATGAAGTTATTTTCCCAGCCCTCTTTCTTAGGTATGTATGTATTGTAAGCATGTACCTGTGTGCACACAAGTATGTGTGTTAAGCAGGCATATCTGTGTGTTTTATAAAATTGGGATCGCCCCTTATCTGTACTTTTTGGTCATTATCTTTCCCACTAAACTTTATATTGGGAGCACGAAATAGTCCTTGCAACATAATTTTTAACAGCTGCATACGTGACTACTGTAGTTTCTGTTACCCATCATTTAGCTTGTCTGCAGTGGTTCACCGCCATAAACAATGCTGCGATAAAGAGCTTTTTGTCGGCATCTTTGGTTATTCCCAGAAGAACCGGTGGGTTGGAGCGTCTCACAAAGGAGCTTTGCTGCTGGGCTCCTTGCACCACCATCCCCTTAGGAAAGGTTGAAGCCATTCGTTTTTCCCCTGAATGTCTTTCAGGGGGAGCAGTGTCTGCCCACACTTCTTGTTGCAGAGGCAAACTGGACCCAGGGAAAGCCAGAGAGTGATGTCGCAGCAAGCGCAGGGCCGCGGCACGCTGGCCACAGCCATGGGGCAGCCCAGTGGGATGGGGTTAGTCAGGGCGCGCTTCTGAGATGCGGCAGGCATGGTCCTGAAGGGCCCAGAGAAAGGAGAATGGAGGTGACCAGAGGGCACGGGGGCAGGGGTGGGAGGCCCAGGTGCAGACCGGAGTGGGCAGAGCTGCTCCTGTAGGTCCTCCAGAGCCGCGTGGTTCCTGGATGAGGAAGGGATGCAGCAGGGGTGGGGAGGTCTGTCTCCCAGTCCCGCTTACCCCTCCGAACCTCCCCAAAGCACTACTTGTATCCAGTCACCCCACTGTGGGCGGGAGCTCTGCAGAGTCCTTGGTGCTCCCCAGCCAAGCCTTCCCCCAGCCCTGCCTCCCGATGATCCGGCAGAAACCCCAGCGTCAGCCAGGCTGGGCCCCACGTCGGCTCCGTGCTTCCTGGAACTTCCTCAGACTTGCAGCCCCCCCTCCTGACGCCTCCTGGTCCTCTCAGCCCACCTCCCCTCCAGCACACTCCTGCTGTGGGGCCCTTACCACTGGCCACGTGTGCCATCTCTCGTGGGAGTATGTCATGGCTCCTGCCTTATCAGACTGTAACCGTCTGGAGAGTCAGCACCGTATCTTAGTCACCTTGGTGTCCTCACTGTCTCCCCTCCAGGCCTGGTGGCGCTCTGCAAACATTTAAGGGGATTTACTCAGCCCGCCCTTTGGGGTTGCCCTGTGGGTGGGGAACAGCCATCCTTCGGTCATCCGGTCTGCATGGGTCAAGGAGGAGGGGCCTGGCCCCTTGGCCTCCTCTTTCTGGGGCTTCCCCCGTAGTCCACTGACTTTCTTGGTGCCTGGTCTTTCTTCCCGGGGTGGGGCGGGGCAGGCGGGTGTGGGCACGGGGTCTACGTGGGGTATTTTCTCCCAAGACCCCGGCCATGTTGACAGAGGGCTGTGCAAGGGTGTCTTCTCTCTTCCCAGACATTGATGAATGTTTAAGCTCCTCCTGTGAGGGCCACTGCGTGAACACAGAAGGCGGGTTTGTGTGCGAGTGTGGGCCGGGCATGCAGCTGTCTGCCGACCGCCACAGCTGCCAAGGTGAGCGGCTCAGGGGATGGGTGATGATGACGCCGTCTCCGCCGCTGCTGGGCTCTGCTGTGGGCTCTGCTGTGGACCTTGTGGTCCTGCGGGCCCAGCTGGGCCAGGCTCTGGAGACGCAGGGCCAGTAAGGAAGCATCTTGCCCTCCGGCTGCCCCAGTTTGGTGGGAAACAGGAAGGTTGGGATGAGGGATAAGGGCTGTGGGGACCCAGGGAAGAGAAGAAATCTCTCTTCCTAAGTGAGCAGGATGAGAACGATTTTTGAAATCGCTACTCATTCTTTTAAGATGACTTTTCTTTATAGAAGTTAGGTAAGGAGACACTTGTAAACAAAATGTTCCCCTTGATACTGCGGTAGTATTTTCTGTGTGTTTGAAATTTTCATCAACTGTAAAAAAAGTTTTTAAAAGTTGCCAGCTCCAAGCCCTCCCTTCCATTCCTGCGCTTTGCTCTCCCTAGAGAATAACTGATGTTTTAGGCTCAGGCTGCTATAACAAAATACCAGCCACTTAAACAACAAGAATGTAGCCTCATAGTTCTGGTGGCTGGAATTTCAATCTCAAGGTGCCGGTCTATTGAGTCCCTGGTGAGCGCCCTCCTCCTGGCTTGCAGATGGCAGAGAGAGTGAGCAAGGTCTCTGGCGTCTCTTCTTATAAGGGTACCAGTCCCATCATGCGGGCCCCGCCCTCCAGACCTCATCGAAACCCGATTACCTCCCAAAGGCCCACCTCCTAACACTATCACATTGGAGCTTATGGCTTCAGCATATGAATTTGAGGCACACAGTTCATCTATAGCACCGGAATGCCCTGCCCGCCTCTCCCCAGCACGTGCGCACACGGAAATGATAATAAGAGATGAGCAGCTCTCCGTCCTGAACTGTTGTGTCTGGGCATCGTCCTGAGCATTATAGATGCATTTTCCTGTTTCATCCTCAGAATTACCCTGTGAAGTTGGAACTGTTTATTTCCATTTTCCTGATAGGAACACTGAGGCCTAAAGAAAGTAAATGACTTGCCCAAGATCATGGCAGAGCTGGAATTGGAACCCAGCCATTCCTCTGCATGCCTCCCTGCCCCCCCCAACAATCTGTCTTGACATCTCTCCTCGTGGTCAACAGACCTTTTTTGTTCTTTTAACTGCCGCCTGGCAGTCTGCAGTGCAAACATCCTGTAGTTTACTAACTCTTCTCTTACTGATGGACATGTAGATTATTTCCAGTTTTTCACAATTCCAAATACCAGCATGGGGAAGCTTTGTGAGAGGAGGTGCCATAGAGGCTGAGTTTTGAGGTACGAGTAGGAGTTTTCCAGGCAGACAAGGCAGAAAGGCAGTCTGAGCAGACGAGAGACCACGGACAAAGGGGAGGCCCACAAGAGTATGGTGCACTTGGAAGATGGCAAGAATTTAAGCCCGAGCAAAGGGGAGGGGCAGGGAAGGAGGTGAAAAAGGCAGCCCAATTTGTGGGCTGTGGGGCTGCATTGGTGCTTGTGGGAGCCAAGGAGGGAGAGTGGCCTGAGCAGAGGCGCCCTCTGGTCGGGACCTGCTGGAGGCTGCCTAGAGGGTCGCACAGGGAGAGGTAGGAAGATGTACGAGGCTGTTGCTCTTCTCCAGACTGTAGACTGAGGTGGCCCAGGCTAGGATATGGCAGTGGAGGTGGAGAGAAGGCTGGTCCAGGGAGGATTTAGGAGTTGACGTACCGCATGTGGGCAGTGAGAAAGAGAGGGGTTGGATGGCCCCCCATGGCCCTGCGTGGGGCAGGAGATGGCCATGAGAGGTAAGAGGGGACTGCGTATTTCCAAAACTCCTTGGGGAAAAGCGCGCCGGCCTTGTTTGTTCCCTTCCAGACACTGACGAGTGCCTCGGGACCCCCTGTCAGCAGAGGTGTAAAAACAGCATCGGCAGCTACCGGTGTTCCTGCAGAACTGGCTTCCACCTGCATGGCAACCGGCACTCCTGTGTAGGTAAGGCTGGGAGGACCTGGTTGTCTTCACACTTAGGCTGCCCATCTGGAAGATGGACAGGGCAAGCCCAGGGGCAGGGGAAGGTCAACAGCCTTGACCTCCCGGTCCCCGGGAGCCTGTAAGCGCTGGACGGAGCCTTTGCTCCGTCCGTCTTCCGCTGGGGTTGGCGTGGCCCCTCACGGAAGACCCTGTCTTGGGCTTTTCCTGGCCACGTGCCACTTTCATCCTGTTATGTTTCTCTTCCACCCCCCCTCCCAGATACACCCCAGGATTCCTCTCTGCTCACCCATTTTCTTGGCTGCCTTTGCTCCCCTTGGTAAATAAAGCACGTTATGTCTTACTTAGTTCCTCTGGTTTAGAAGGAGACCCCTGTTTTCTCAGCCCATTAGCTGAAATTTCCAGAAAGGGACTGGCATGTTTGTCTTGAGCTCGGCTCATGGGTTGAAGGTGGGGTCCCATGGGCCTGAAGAAAGTCCTTGTTCTAGCAGAGTTCAGTGTTTGTCCCGAAGCCTACCTTAAGCAGTACAGAGATTTCTGAGACTCTTTTTTTTCAGAAGGGGCCACACCACTCACCCCTGACAGGTGGAATGGTGGAAGATTTGGAGATACGATTCCCAGGGGGCTCATCCCCTCCAGCATTTAATCCTTGCTGCATAATGCTGGGGGGTGGGTCACTGGTGTGTCCACTGAATGTCTACTGGATGTATGAGCCTTCCAAGGGGGCTAGCCTAGATTTCAGCCCCACGTGACATCTGAGTCACGTGCACACCCTGGAGCAGGGAGACTCCCCCAGCCTTTTGGTCTAAGGGATGATGGAAGAAAGGCTCGGTAGCCCCGACAAGACAGCTGTCGGCAGCGAGGCTCTCCTGCAGATGTTAACGAATGTCGGAGACCGCTGGAGAGGCGAGTCTGTCACCATTCCTGCCACAACACCGTGGGCAGCTTCCTGTGCACATGCCGACCTGGCTTCAGGCTGCGAGCTGACCGGGTGTCCTGTGAAGGTGAGCGCCCAGCCCCGCCTCCCAGCTCCCGGCTCCGCCCCTGTCCCTAAGCCCCGCCCTCCCCACGCCAGGCCGCGCCCTCCCAGAGCCTGACCTTTTTTCCTCTCCATCCCCTCTTTTGTTTTCATTCATTTTATTTCCAGCGCTTCAATTTCTTCCTTCCTCCCATTTCTTTGTCACTTCATTGTTTCCCTAGCCCTTCTGTTTTCCCCCCACATGGTAAAAGAAAAAAAAAAAGGAGCACATGACATAGGAACCCCAGTAACCTGGGCTCCAGGGACAGACACTTTGGACAGTAGTGTCTGATCACTCTGCCATACTTTCCCAGCGTGCCTGTAAATATATGTATAACATATATGTAAATTTACATATATAACATATATGTAAATATATGTTATATAAAATCTGAAGGTGCTCTTTCTAGTTCATGGTGCGTTCTCCCAGGCCTCAGCATCCCAGCCCAGGAAGCCACACCTGGGGTGGGGGCAGGGACACAGTCCCCTTGTCACCTTCGCCTGCTCTTCTGGTACTTTCTCATCAGCCTTTCTGTGTGATCGTGTCCGCAGCCTCAGTACTTTGGAGCTGAACTGGTGGTATTAGATCCATTATGTTGACAAAGAAACTGGCCCAGGGACAGTCGGTGACTGGCGGTAGAGCTGGGTGCAGGCCCCCAGTCTCACCTCCCTCACGGCGCCCCGTGCTTCCCTTTCAGCTTTCCCGAAAGCCGTGCTGGCCCCATCCGCCATCCTGCAGCCTCTGCAGCACCCGCCTAAGATGCTGCTGTTGCTTCCAGAGGCCGGCCGGCCTGCGCTCTCCCCGGGACACAGCCCTCCCTCTGGGGCTCCTGGGCCTCCTGCCGGAGTCAGGACCACCTGCCTGCCATCTCCCACCCCTGCGCTACCAACAGCTTCCCCGGCTGCCCCGACCGGGGCGCTGTCCACCCCGATGGCCACCCCAGGGCCTAGTGTGCCCCTGTTGGGGACGCTCAGACCTCCCTCACAACTGCAGGAGAAGGCGGTGGTCACCCCTTCCTTGCCCAGGGGCCCCACAGCCCCACCGCCAGCACCAGGGCCCTCTGGCTGCTGGCACCTGGGAACTGCGTATGAGTCGGGGAGCCACTGGACCGAGCCCGGGTGTTTCCAGTGCTGGTGCGAGGTGGGTGTGAGGGGTCCTCGGGGCTGCCCTGGTCTGGTGCTGGGGCCTTGGGGTGATTGGAACTCCTGCTTCCAGGACGGGGAGGTGACCTGTGAAAAGGTGACGTGTGAAGCTGCTTGTTCCCACCCCATCCCCTCCGGAGACGGGGAGTGCTGCCCGTCGTGCACAGGTGGGAGCTGGTCGAGGGAGGCCACACGTTCCCCACGGTCCGTCTCTCCCTTTTCCCCGCCCTTCTGCAGCTGAAAGGCTATGCTCCAGCTTTCTCAGACCTTAGAATCTCCTGAAGGGGGACCCCTGGGCCCCACCCCCAGAGGTTCTGATTCTGCAGGTGTTGGGGGGCGCCAGGAATTTGCATTTCTAACAAGGTCCACTGCTGGTCCAGGGACCACAGGTTGAGAGCCACTGGTCTGTGCTGTGATCTCTCTCAAGGGCAACTTTCCATCTGGGGACCCCTTTTGAGTGTCATTCATTCATTCATTTGTTCAGTGAGCTTCTCCACGTCCACTCTGCAGTCCCCTTTCCTTGCCCCGTCCTGTAGCCAGAGGAGTAACCGCTTGTAAATTCTTCCCCCTTTCCGATTTCGTCCCACAACCTGCTTTCAGTTTTTCATCTGCTTCCCATTGCTGTTAGGATAAAGACCCCAAATCTTAACAAGTCCTTCAGCAGAGCCCCCGGTACGCTGTGTACATGCATCCCTGTGGATCTCGTTAAGATGCAGAGTCTCATTCCGTGGAGCCAGGGAGGGGCCCGAGCGTCTGCATTTCTATGGTGATACGATGCCGTGGTTGCTGCACTTGGAGCAGCAATGAAAGAAAAAGTCTTGCTATGAGTTAGAATAAAAAGGCACCTACTGACTTGCTGAATGATAATCACGACCTTTTACTGTGTCCCTACTTTGTATTGAGTCCTCAGTGCATAGTGCTAGGTATCTGAGGTGGTGGGTCCTTCTAAGTCCCCTGCAGGACACATGGTGGCATTTCCATTTTACAGTAAAGACAGCTGAGTCCCAGAAAGTCTGAGTGACATGTCCACGGCCATTCAGATAACTGAACGGGCAGGCCAGGTTTTGAACCCAGGGCTGTCTGGCTGCCTTTCCTACCTTATGGGAATAAAAGGCCACGTGCTCAGCACAGTTTTGATTTTATCAGACATGCACAGAACCCCCAGGGGCATCCTATGGGGGTGTCTCCTGGTAATTTTCCAGGGGCTGTAGGACCACGTAGTTCTGGATACCTGGACCTGCCACTCCTGGGGCATCCTGGCCAGTGAGAGAATGTTCCATGTATATTATGCCTGGAAAAGGAATAAGACCACAAGCTTCTTCTGCTTTGAAGAGGTCTGATGCCTCCTCCGCTCCTGTTTGTCTTTCAAAGGCTGTTTTCACAGTGGCGTCATAAGAGCCGAAGGGGCCGTGTTTTCTCCTCCCACGGAGAACTGCACCATCTGCGTCTGCCTGGTGAGCATCACAGGCTCCCCGAAGCCTGGGAGTCTCCTGGGTGTTTTCTTAACCTTTGGGGGTTTTAGAGGAAGGGGGAAAGAGCGGATGTTAGAGGTGCGCTGGCTGAATGGAGGGAGAGTTCCTAGGTTGTGGATTTTGGTCTGAACCTGTCGATTTAAAAGCCTGGGGGAAATGTGAAACCTGTAGGTCTGTGGAGACAGGGAGGCTTCTGCTGAGCAGAGAAGAGCCAACAGGCAAACAGGGTCCATCTGTCTAGGAAGGGGAGGGGACGAAAGTCCCTTGGAAACTTCTTTTTCTCTCCAGGCAAAATATTTGCCAGCACAATGAAGTTATCCATGTTTGGGAGGGAGAAGGCTCATTACCAGGCTCAGCTTGTGAAGAGTGTTTTGCTGTAGGCAAATTTACTCCTCCAAGAGTATTTATTAAGCACCTACTGTGTGCCAGGCACTGACAGCTGTGGTCACATGGATTTGATTATGAGCCCGTGGTGTGTACCAGGCACGGGCCTTGGTGCTTTCCACCTGATTCCTCACCAGAGGCTCCGGCCTGCCCTCCAAGGGCAGCTCTCTTGTCTCTATTCTACAGACGAGAAGAGGTGGGATTTGAGCTGAGGTCTGTTGCACCCAGAGCCCGGACTTTGCCCCCCAGCCCTCACTGCCAGCCTCTGACTGTCTTTAAAGGCAGCCCGCGGTCTGGCGGTGATGACTGCAGCTGCAGTGCGAGACCGGGGGTGGGGCGCCTAGGCAGCTGTGCGCCCATTGTCGACCTCTTCCTGGGCGCCACACACGCACGGTGGCCAAGCGCTTCCGTGGGTGATCTTATTCCACGTAATCCTCAGCATCCGCTGGTAGGTGGGGAGACTGAGGCTCCGAGAGGGGATGCACTTTGCCAAAAGTCACACGGCTCGGCGGTGGAGGAACAGACCCTGACCTCAGGGCCAGCCGGCTCCCAAGCCAGGGGCTTTTTGGTCTTAACTTCAAGTTGTTGAACTTTGATTCTTTGAATAGTTCATGTAGTCACTTGGTTCAAAACTCAGATGCACTGGAAGGTGTCCCTGGTGGAGGAGCCTCTGTCCTCTGCCCTCAGCGCCCTTCCCGAGCGGCTGTCTGCTGTCGGAGGGGCCGCTGTGGAAGGCGAGGCGCGTCATGCTCTGGAAAGCGAGGTGTTCTAACCACGCCATAATAAACGCCAGACGCTGGGTCCCTGCAGACTGTCCTTGTGGCCATGGTGGCATTTAAAGGTCTGGGAAGGTGTTCTTTAGGAGGCTTTTGCATTGGACAGGAGACTTGAGGTGTGGTGTAAAATGGGCGGGGATCGAGCTGGTTCTTGATGGGCCGGAAGGGCGTCAGAGCCTGGTTCTCCTCCCCCGCCGCCCACTGCCATCTCTCACCTCCTCAGGCTGGAAATGTGTCCTGCATCTCCCCCGAGTGTCCCCCTGGCCCGTGTCAGACCTCCCCAAGGTCAGACTGCTGTACTTGTGTTCCAGGTAAGTGACCCTTTGGCTGGCAGGTGGGGCAGGAGAATTTAGCTTTTTCTTTCTTAAGATTTTATTTTATTTTTTAGAGTGAGGGGAAAGGAGGGAGAAAGAGAGGGAGAGAAACATCCATGTGCATGAGAAATACTGATTAGTTGCCTCTCACATGCTCTCAACTAAGGACCTGGCCCGCCACCCAACCATGTACCCTGACCTGGAATCCAACCGATGACCCTTCGGTCTCCAGGCCAGTGCTCAACCCACAGAGCCACACCAGCCACGGAGAATTTAGCTTTTTTGTGTGTTCTGAAGAGAGGTGTCTTTTGAGTATATTTTGGGGGCAAGGTTAAGTGGAAGGGAGAGGAAGGAGACTGATTTCTTCTTTAGACACTCAGTTCAAGTGATGCATTTCAAAGCGCCCGTTTTAATTGAGCGCCTACTATGTGCACAGTGATTTGGATGCTAGACTGGGCTCACAGCCTGGCCTGCCCCCGCCCCCGGAGGCACCCTCAACACAGGCGGGAAGGGGGTTGAGCCCACACTTGGCTTTGCTCTATCTTGAGACAGAGAGAGGGCCTCATTTTCCCCACTAGTGAGTTGGTCCTTTGTTAAAAATTTGGGTCTCTTTCCTGGGATGACCTCATCACCGTCACTAATATTCCCTGCCAGCTCTGTGCCATTGCTCTGCGGATTCTTGCCAGACCCCGATCTCCCTGCGCCCGTGTGTCGCTGCCCTGAGGGGACACTGTTCACAGCTTCATTTTATCGATGAGGAATCTGAGGCTCAGGTCAAGCCGCTGCCCAAAGACACACAACCACTTAGTACAGGAACAGAACTTGAATTCAAGTCTACCTGATGTCAAAGTTGGCATCCTTTTAAAAATATTTTTTTCTTAACTTGTAACTATTCTTGTTAATTAAAAATTTTTCAAATAGGCGATAGAGTCCCTAGGAGGTAGGAACTGGTATCAACTCCGCTGAACAGATGAGAAAACTGAGGCTCAGTGAGCTGAAGCATCGTGTTGGAAGTCCCTTCCTAGGGGGTCGTATCGGTGGGATTTGAACCCAGGGCAGGTTTTAGGCAGTTTATTCCTGTGGCGACCTGCAGGTTGGAGGCCCGCCCGGAGTCCTCCCAGCCTCCCTGGAGGGCACGGCCCCCTGAACCGCCTGAGGTGTCGGGGGCAGCCATTTTCCATTTCTTCGTTCCTCTTCCTCTGGAGTTATTCCGGGCTTCCCTTGCCCTTTTGGGTAAGGACCATGTTTTACACGTGATTCATTCTCCGTCAGTTTTTAAGTAATAGTGTGCTTTTTGTCGGGGGCTAGGAGGGGAGCACCGAGTGGGGTTCTTGGGCGCGGCTGCTGTGGAGCGCCATGGGAGTGTGTGAGCTTCCCCGGGGCCCCCCACCCGTTTTTTTCTCCTTTTTCTTCAGCTGCCCCCACCCAAACCTTGAGCTGCTTCTCCCTTTCCTCTCCGCAGTGAGGTGCTATTTCCACGGCCGGTGGTATGCAGATGGGGCTGTGTTCAGTGGGGGTGGTGACGAGTGTACCACCTGTGTCTGCCAGGTAGGGGCTCCATTGGTGGGTGACGGGGAGGGTGCAGGGCACAGCACTTATCCAGGAGAAGAGGAGCTGCCACGTGAAAAAAGGGACCGAGGCAGCAAAGGGACTTGAAGGGATCTGCACCCACTAAGGCCTTCCAGCAGGCCCCTTGAAGTTCACCTTCAGCAGTGCTATTTGTAGAGCACCTACTGCGTGCCTGGAGCTACGCTGAGTGCTGGGGGCACAGCGAAGCACAAGACAGCCCAGGCTCCTCCGTCAGCGGCCCCACAGCCTAGGTGGGCGGTAGATAGGTGACCGGAGCTCCTAGACAGACCGCAGGCTTCAGGGGAGCCCTCTCGGAGGGAGGGACGCTAAGGCGACACCTGAGGGATGACTAGCACTGAGCAGGTGAGGAGATGAGGCAGGTGTGCCTGGCAGGGGGCAGGAGAGAAGAGAGAGGGCATGGCGTGCAGTCCCCCTGGCGGGAGCCCAGAAGGCCCATCCGGCTGCAGTCAGGCAAGGGACGGTGTTTGGGTTAGATTCCGAGAAGCAGGCGCTGGGGCGGGATTCTTGTGGAAGTTATGTTCCGAGGGAGTGCTCTGAGGAGAACGGGGTGAGGGAGGCAGGAGGGGCAGGGGAGGGCACCAAGTGGAGGCCAGGGCTCCGGCTGATAGCCCCGGGGAGCTCTGGAGTGGGCATTGCACCGAGCAGATGGGCATATCCAGAGGCCGGGGAGCATCAGGCCCTTGTGTATGCTCCCTTGCTCCCAGGAAGTCGGGGTGAAGGAACCATCCAGCACCTGGAAGACACGGTCCCCGTTGGCCGAGGGTCGTACTTAGGAGAAGGGGTCTGGGGGTGCTGCGACAGCCTCTGCCTCAGGCTCAGCTGTGAAAGGCCTTGCCAGCCAGGCTGAGGGCTTTGGACTTGGCAGCGCTGCTGAAGGTTTTAAGTGGCAGAGTGATGTGATCAGATTGGTGCGTGAGAAAGTTCTCTGGCTGCAGAGTAAGAGCAGATTGGAGAGAGAGCAGGAAGCAGGGAGCCTGCACAGAAGCTGCTTTGCAGGAGGAGAGGGCAGATGCTGGTGGCTGCCGCCAGGGCAGGCAGGGCTCCTGCCACACAGGCAGCTGGCACATTCCCAGGACCCACCAGCCTCACCCCAGCCCCAGCGAAGGACTCGCCCTTCCTCTCCCTCTGCTGCCTGGAGATTGCTTTGTCACTTTTAAGAGGAGGGGGATGGCAGCCCTCCAATGGCCCAGGGCTGGGGAACTGCCCTCACTGGCCCATGCCCTTTGGCTTTCTTCCAGAACGGGGAGGTGGAATGTTCCTTCACACCATGTCCAGAGCTGGACTGCCCCCGTGAGGAGTGGTGGCTGGGCCCTGGACAGTGTTGCTTCACCTGCCGGAAGCCCACGCCCATGACAGGTGAGGGCCCCCAGCCCCGCGTCCCAGGGCTGCGCCTGACGCGTGACTCTGAGGAGGGAGGCTGAGCTGCACCCCTTACACTGTTAGAGTGAGTCTGAGCGTGTCAGTTTGTGTGTGTGTCTGTGTGATATCTCTCTGCATATATGTGAATGTGTGTGTGAATGTGTCAGTACGTGTGTGTGTATTTGTATGGTGTGTGTGTGCATTTGTGTGTGTATGTCTGTGTGTGAGTGTGTGTCCGTATGTGTTTGTGTATTTGTGTGCGTGCGTGTGCCCGTGTGTCTGTGTGTGGGTGGCTTCTCTGTGTGTGGGTGCGTGTGTTTATGGGTCCATATGGAAGCACGTGCTTGTGTGACTGTGCCCGTGTGCACCAGGTGCAGGTGTGGAGGGCACACGCGCTCAGTGAGGGAGCCGGCAGACAGCTGCGGGCAGCCCCCGGGCGGAGGGCATGCCCTCGAAACTGTCTGCACGGCGTGGACGAGTGGAGGCGTCTGTCCTTGCTGGGCGGTGCCGTAGGTGCGGCGGGCACTCGGGACCCTCCTCGGCACTGCTGCCCACTCGTCCTTTCTCCCTCACTGTTCCCCGGCCAGGTTGCTCTCTCGACGACAACGGGGTTGAGTTTCCGGTTGGACAGATCTGGTCTCCTGGTGATCCCTGTGAGTTATGCATCTGCCAGGTGAATGACAACCTGCGCGCCTTCAGCTGCTTTCCCGCTGCCCCCGCCTCAGCTGCCCGCAGCCCTGACCCGGCCCTCGGATCCCAGGCATCCGGAAGCCGGGCCACCCAACCATGCCCTCAGGCTGGTTCCCATGCCATCAGGCTCCATTTAGACAGAAAGGGCTGGGACCCAGTATATTCATTCAGTCCTCAGGAGACTGTTCAGGACAGCGGAGCTTGGCTGCCTGCCTTGAGAGAGGTGTGTGACGCGCTGTGTGTGTGATGGTGGAGTCCTCATAGCGGGTCCCCCTGGGCACATAACTGAGGGAGCTGGGGCAGCCTGTTGTTCAGGCGTTTTCTATGAAATGGCCATGTTTTCATCACTAATGTGAATCGTGGGACCTCATCTCATCAGAAATGGATAAGGACAAGGTGCTTGAGTTTTCGAGTTAGGTGGACAGAAATGTCCCCATAGCAACGTAACAGGAAACACAATTGTTTTAGCTCATTGTTGAGTTAAATGCATGTTGGCTTTCCTTTCTATGTTAAGAGTTTAGACTCCCTTAGAGCTTTGTGTCCAAAGCTAGGCCCCTGTCCCCTCGGTGTTTGGTTGTCACCCGGAGCCTGGTAGGCGCAGAATCTCAGGGCCGCCCAGACCTTCGACTCAGAGTCAGCACTTTACTGCTGGGTGAGGGGAGTGCGCACCAGCGTGTGGGAAGTGCAGCCTTCAAGTCCTTTGATGTGCCGCTGGATAGAAAGCCTCAGACCCTCGCTAGCCTTGGAGATCGCTCATTGGAATCAGCATTGGGAGGGACGTGCGTGTGCTGCTCTCTTTCTCCTTTGTGACTGACCTGGGGCACTCGGGTTATGAGAAAGTAACGCCAAAGTTCATAAACATTCAGGTCCTTAGAGAAAAAAAAGAAAGGTTACCTGGCACTTTTGTCTTCCGAAATGGACGTTTCAGGTGAAATATAAAAATAGGATTGTATTACACTCTGTCGTCGGTGTAGGATGAGCCAGGGTTCCTGCCTTGAGAGCAGAATTCGAGGGCGGGGCGTGGTGATGGCACGGCCTTGCGGGAGGAACACAGGACGCCCCGGAGACCGAACCCCAGTTCGTACCTTCCCTCTTTTTGGATACGAGCACCTTTGGAAGGCTCACACCCTCTTCCCCAGTAGCTGGTCCCCTTTAAGGGAGACCTGCCACCTCCCACTGCATCAGGGCACCTTTTAGGGAAAACCTTGGCCAATTTGAAGCACTGCTGTCTTTTTGTGGCGGGGGGGGGGACTGGGAGGGTGGAGTGGGACGCAGAGGCATAGACTGATGTCAGAGGTGGGATCTTGGTGAAGTTCCTCGTTCCTTCAGGCAGATGGCTCCGTGAGCTGCAAGAGGACAGACTGTGTGGACTCCTGTCCGCACCCGATTCGGATCCCTGGACAGTGCTGCCCGGACTGTTCGGCAGGTAATTCCCTACGGGGGCTGCCCAGCCCGTGCCCCCACTGTTGCCTTCGAGTGCCCCCGTACCAGGCTCCTCCATGCAACACACTGCACAGGTTTCATCTCGCGTCATCTTCACAACCATCCCGTGGGGCAGCCCCATCTTACAGATGAGGAAACTGAGGCTCAGAGACAGAGAGCATTTGCCCAGGGCAGGCCCTGTCTGGGTGCTGGAGGCAGATACGAAGGTTACAGCTTAGATGGGGTGGCAGCAACAGGGAGAGCAAATAAAAGTGATATTTTATTTATAGCAACTTTTACCTTTCTCCTTCTTTCAAAAGTAATATTTCGTTGTGGAACATTTAGAAGGGCCCATTATCACTTTTAAACCTCATGGTTTGTTTTTCTAGTCTCGTGATATAATATCTCCATGTATATATAACGTATCTGTAATATATATCTATCTAACAGAATAGATATATGTTATATATATTTTTTCCTTCACAGTACGTCCCTGCTGTCTCATCACCTGTTTTTTTACTTACTAGTCTGTGATAAGTACTATCAAGGTGGCACCCTGTAGATTGGGCCTCAGTGGGCATCAGAGACAGAGAAGGGAGAGGTGTGGAGGAATGTTCTAGAAGGTGGGGTTTGGCTGAGTGGGGGGAGCAGAGAGGATGGCCATGGTGCCAGGCACCCAGGTTGTATCTTCTAGTCCCTCTGTCCTGATCCACCTGGTGAGGGGGGACGAGGAAATGCTTTGTCCTGGGGGGTGGGGGGTGGGGAGGACCCTGAAGTGAAGACACACTGACCCCTCTGCTGATCCAGTGCAAGAAAGTCAGCTCCTCGTCTGGACCCGTGTCCTGTCCCTTCCTCAACCTCTGGGGCAACTGCCCCAGGAGGCCGTTGGCCTGACCTTCACTCCCCAGATAAACCTGGGGCCGTCACCGTGGCGGGAGCCCGGCCGCTAACGGACCCCCCGCCCCACTGGCCTCACCGCGTGCTCTCTCTGGCAGGCTGCACCTACACAGGCAGAATCTTCCACAACAACCAGACCTTTCCGTCTGTGCTGGACCCGTGTCTGAGCTGCATCTGCCTGGTACGGCCACCCAGACCTGCCCCTGTCTGCGGAAACTCCCCAGGGACTGCCACCAGCTCCTGAACCCTGGAGGCAAAGTCCAGAGACCTCCAAGAGAAAGGTCACTTCTGGGTCCTGGTGACAGGTCGGCTCCCTCCGGCCCTGCCCAGGGCGAACCTTTACCCAGGGCCAGGGAGCTCTTTTTCACCTTTCCCTGACAAAGTCCTCTGCTCCTGGCGACCAGGGGGTCTTGGGGGCCAGTCCTTAGAGTATGACAGGGATTCTGTTCTGTGGGTGCCGGTGAGGGACTCCAGCGCACGTCCTCTGCTCGCATTAAGTTCTTGGTGTGGACCAGCCCTGCGCCCGGCCCTGCATGTGCAAGGGCTCAGTTGGTCCTCGGAAGAATCCCAGGAGGCACGCACCACCGTCATCTCTGTCTGCTAAGCGGGAAAACCGAGGCCCAGAGAGACAAAGCCATTTGCTCCAGAGAATTGAAATGCCGAGGATCGAATCCTCATACTCCGAACCTGTGCTCCAGAAAGCATGCTTTTTACCCCAAACCATCCCGCCTCTCAGTCCAAAAAAGTGTGTTTGATAGTATGATCAGTTAGTATTTGGGAAATGGAACAAAAATCCTGATTGCTCATCTGCTGAAAATGTTCAGTGTGGGTGGAGCTTCCCAGGTGACAGGCACATCCAGCGACAGGTGAGATGCAGTGTGAAAGTGGACAGGGTTTACAGAGAGACTGAGAAACTCGGGTGAACGTCTTGGGCCTCTGAGTGTCCCCGTTCATTCTCAGCCATGTGCTTTGGGGAGCTTCGGCTTCTGGGCCCTTTCTCCTGGGTTTTGGTGCTCACCTTGGGCAGTTCATGCATTTGTTCATCAGGTACCTGTTGACAGATGAGGTCTGTGGACAAGGCCAGGCCCTTGGCCTTCTGGTGCTTGTGTTCCAGCAGGAAGACAGACTCTGACCGAGTGAACGACCCCCTCCCCTGCCCCACCAGGGACTTCTCCTCTGACCTTCGTTGTTCTGACGGGCACTCAGTGGCTATGTGGCTTGTCCTTCCTGTGTGTCCCATCGGCCCCCAGAACGAAGGGCCTTGTGCATTTTCTGTGTCCTGCAGCTGGGCTCAGTGGCCTGCTCGCCCGTGGACTGCCCCATCACCTGCACCTACCCTTTCCACCCCGACGGGGAGTGCTGCCCGGTGTGCCAAGGTGAGTGGGACCCGCCACCCCACGTCCGAGGCTCCCGGGTGGGCCTTGGCTCTCATGGGCCTCTGTCTCCTTTGCCCCTGCAGACTGCAACTACGAGGGAAGGAAGGTGGTGAACGGCCAGGTGTTCACCTTGGACGAGGAGCCCTGTACCCAGTGCATGTGCCAGGTGAGCTGGGCCTGGGAATTGGGAGCTGCTCAGCCAGGGGCTGCTTCTTGCCCGTCATCCCTTTGCAAACTTTGGAGCCCCTTAGCCCACGGAAGCCCATCTTCCTCCTGCCTTTCTTCACCTTTAATTTCCTGCTGGAATACCTTTGGATGTGACCGTATCCTCCCTCTTTGCGGTTTTCTTCGCGCCATCCCGCTGCTTTTGGCTTCGCCTGTTCGGGTGAGGGCCAGGCACTGCAGCCTCCGTCCCCAGATCTTTCCGTGGGTCCCCCTTCTGGTGCCGGAGGCCCTCAGGGGTGCTGCTCTGGGTGTCCTCATGTGTGCCCCTCTGCTTCCCCAGCTGGGAGAGGTGAGCTGCGAGAAGGTCTCCTGCCAGCGGGCCTGCTCGGACCCCTCCGTGTCCCCTGGGGACTGCTGCGCCTCCTGCCCTGGTAAGCAGGCCTCTGGGTCCTGGAGTTCCTCCACCGCCTCCTTCCTCTTTGCTCTCCTTCCTAGAAACATAGAGCTCGTGAAGCCCTGGGTGTGAGACGTGACTTGCTCACGGTCACACAGGACCTCCATCAGTGGTCCTCATGTCACCTCCTGACATGCTGTGCGACAAGTTTTGTTTGTTTTCAGAGCTTGTTTCTTCTCCATTATCTCCTTTCTTAATCTCTTCCTCTGCTTTCTTCCTTTTTGAAAACTTAGAATTTAGGAGCTGAATCCACTTTGGAGAAGGGTCATTGCTGATAGGTTTTGGGCGGTCAGGTGACAGGGAACCTCGTGTGTCTTACTCCATTCCATTTCACAGCAGCTCGTAGAGACAGGTCCTGTTGTCAAGCCCGTTTTCCAGGAGAGGAAGCTGGGGCACAGAGTGGTGGCGTGACCTGCTCAAGGTCACACAGCTGACAGGCAATAGAGCCAGGCCTTGGGCCCAGAGTCAGTGCTTTTAGCTCCTGACTCCTGAGAATTCTCATCTCTTTGTCTTTCTCTGTTGTTAATGTTCATCCATTTTATTCCTTTCAGAGGAATAAACAGGTCACAGACAACCTGCTGGCATGCATAGTTTTGAACTTTTGATGTGGCCCAAGCCTGTCATTTAAAAAGCCCCCAAATGTTCTGGTTTGCTTACCCCCTGCCTTTTGGTTGACATTTAGGTGGTTTCTTTATTTCTTTTTATTCTAACCATAATGGACCTACTGTGAAAAATCTTCAGTCAGACAGCTTCTCTTTTTAAAGATTTTATATATTTATTTTTAGAGAGAGGGGAAGGGAGGGCGAAAGAGAGACAAACATCAATGTATGGTTGCCTATCATGTGCCCCCAACTGGGGACCTGGCCTGCAACCCAGGTATGTGCCCTGACTGGGGGTTGAACCAGTGACACTTTGGCTCGCAGGCCGGTGCTTGATCCCCTGAGCCACAGAAGCCAGGGACCATTCATGGTTTTTTTTTGTTTGTTTGTTTTTTCCTCTTCTGACCTGAGACAGGCACCTCCTGGTCCTCAACAGGTGTTTGAGGACCTGCAGAGGACAGAGCTTGGGCATCTGTCCTCAGAGCAGCTTGTCCCAGAGCAGCTTCCACTTGCGGGAGAACCCCAGTGCCTCCTGTTTCCCCCACCTCTCTCTAGATTCCTTGGAAGAAAGGCAAGGACTCGCCCCTCCTGGAGACGTGGAATTCAGCAACGCGGCACGGAGTCCCCGTAGAGACACTGAGGCCCCTGTCAACTGCAGCTCCTGCCCAGGGCCCCCGGCAGCCTTGCCTCAGAGGCCAGCACTCCATTTCCTCCAGTTCCTCTTCAGAACGAATGTGTCTGACATGCAGACTTTCCCCTGGAGCAGCCCTTCAGGAGCCCCGGCCTCACCCGCAGCCCCCGCGGGGCCCTCACCCGGGCCTTCCATCCCTCCAGGAGCCTCCACTCTACCTCCAGCCTCTCCTGGGGCTCCTGGGCCACCTCCTGTTACTCGAGAGCCTCTGACCTCAGCCTCCGGGGCCCACACGACGGCCGGACAGCCTTCTCGGCCTGCAGCCGTCCTGACTGATGCGTCAGCCCTTTCCATGACAGACCCTGGCCCCTCAGAGACCCCCGTCACCCTGCTCAGGCCTCGCAGACTCTCTCCCACCACCTCCAGACCCTCGGCAGCCCTTGGGGCTACCGCCAGCCCCGGCCCCCGGCAGCCCACAACGGGGGCCTCACGCGAAGAGGAGTCCACCGGGTAAGGCGGCCTCCATGTCAGGGCCGCGCCTGGGAGAGGCCGGGCAGAGGAAGCAGCCAGTGGCCCTGCGAGTGTGCAGGGCCACTCCGGGGGCCACCGAGGCTCATTCTTGTAGGGCTCCTGGCGGCATGACAGACCCTCAGGGCTGACATCACCTGTTCCCAGAAAGCATTTCGATGCCCTGTGGGGGCCAGCAAGTGGCGTCCCCAGGGGCAGCATCGTCCCTGGAAGGCCCGGCCTGCTGTCTTTGGAGGAAGGCTGGGCTGCGGAGCCGCCGCCCCTGGAGGAGGAGGGTCGGCCAGGGCCTGAGACTCCACGGGGATCCGGGGTTTCCTGATTAAAGGCTGTCTCGGTCTCCCCCCAGCTGCCCCGCTCACTCACTTCTCCCCTTCGGAAAGGTGGGAAAATACGCCCACGGGTGGTAAACAGGCTCCCCGCCCCCACCCCACCCCCTGCCCCCGCCCTGCCCCGTGGGAGGAAAGCCTGCCCCGACAGGGGCTGGGCTGCGGAGGCATCTGGTGTGAGCCCCTGGTGGCCTTTGACGCCAGGAGTCTTCTGAGGTGAGGAGGGAGAAGACGGATGGAGAGGGCTTTGCAGGTTGGCTTCCCTGGGCAGGAACCTCTGAAAGGAAGTAGCAGGCAGCTGGTCTTTGTCATCAGCGCCTGTGGGGGCGGGCGAGAGGGAGAAGCTGGGCTGCCCTGCCTCTCAAGGCTTCAGCCAGCCCCCTCGGGGAGCTCAGAGGCTGGATGGTTCTTCAGAGCTGTCCTGAGGGCGGGCGAGGGGACAGCGCTGTGTCCTCATGTTGACCAGTAATCCTATCTGGGCTGCCCCAGGAAAGCGGTGTGACCTTGGGCGAGGCAGCTCCCGTCAGCTGAGGCAATTCCTGATGAGGGCGGCTGCCCAGAGCTGCCGGCCCACAAGCCTCTGGCAGCTGGGAGACTAAGCCTGTCAGTCCCGAAGCGGGGTCTGGGCGGTGCAGCCTAGTTTCCATGACAGGTGGAAAGAGGGCAGTGCGCTGTCATTAATGGAGCAAGTGAGATGGAGATGGAAGAGAGCAAACTATGATGTCACCGTGTCACCAGCCTGCTGCCACTGAAACCCGAGGGGCCTGTAGAATAAACTGCCAAGTGACACAAAGGGCTTAGACCCGAAGGGGGGTATTTAACTTAAGATTGAGGCCTGAGGTGCCCTGACCAGCTTTGAGCCCTGCCCAGCTGCAATTGGCCGAGGGACCTCGGGGCTCGGCTCCTTCGTCAGTGTGGTGGGACCATAACCCTCCGCTGTGCAGTTGCGTTGTTGCCGTGCAGTTAAGCCTCCACGCGACCCTGTGCGGCCACCCAGCCTCCTGATGCCCCCAGGGATGCAACTTCAGGATGAAAGTATAGGACCCTGGCGGCCTCAGGTGCTGCCTCCAAGCGGCAACTTCTCAAACAACCCAGGTGTCAATGTGGTAGGGGCTAAAAGTCAGGGCCGATTGTCCCATCGTTACTCACTACTCAATAAAGGGTGCAGTTCAAGTTTTAATACTAGCCCCTCCCCCCCAAAAAAGAATTCAAATAAATGATGTTATTTCAAATGTTTAAAAAAAAAAAATACACAGGGCCAAAACAAAACAAAGCACCGGGGAGGGGGCAGAAAATGTAAACATTTTCCCCAAGTTGGTCCAAGTATAAAAACATACCGACCCCCCCGCCCCACACACAGATTATGTAAACACACAGTTTACAGCTGGGACCACAGGGCTCAGAGAGGTTAGGGGAGCGTCCTAAGGTTGCACAGATTATGAAGGCTGAGCTGGGAGGAGAGCCCTGTTCTGACTCCCAGTCTGAGCTTTCTCCCTTCACATCTCACTTGGTCGGATCCTTCTGCGGGAACTGAAGAGGGAAAGTTGACGGCTACAGTTGATGGGAGGGTGCCGTGACCACCTTAGCTTCGTTTGGGCTCCCCGAAGAGCAGGCCCAGAGATTGACATGTGGGTGTGAGTCACTGACCTGGGAGGTGATCCCAAGGAATGGGCCAGGGCGGGGATGTGGGACAGGGAAGGGAAGAAAACCAGTCAGGATGCATGAAAGGGGCCACTGCTACAGGTAATTGGTACAGAGGCCTCCTGCAGACCCTCTGGGATTCCACGTAGCACATGCCTCAGGATTGCCCGCAGCAAGCGCCTGAGGACGCCACTCTTGTCCCTCTCTGGTTCCTGGCACATCCAGCAGGCCCTGCCCGCCTCCTGTCCCCTCGCTCCCTGGCATAAGAAGGCACTTGGGGAAGAGGGGCAGGGACCGTCTGCAGAGGACCTCCCGGCTGGGCCAGGGCTCTCACTGCCTCCCACTGTGGTCAACACAGTCCCTTCTCGGGGCCCTTGGGGGTGGGGGTTGGAGGAGCCCTCCCTTCCCCGTGGGCAGGCGGCGCGGTGGCTCGCTGGGAGCCCCCGCAGGATCTGGCTCAGCAAGAATGTGATCTCACCACAGTAAGTCCCAGCGCGCACGGCCCGCGGCCCAGGGCTGGCTCCAGGAGATCGGGGGGCCAGCTTCAAGACCCCAGATGGGCACATAGTGCTTTTAACAACCAGGAGGAGCTGGTCTGAATTTTCAGCAGCCTGGGCTCCCACAAGCAGGAGAGTGTCCCTGGGTGAACACACACCCTGGATTTCCCCTCCGCATTGAGGGTTCTGAGAAGCCTTCTGACTGCCAGAGCCTTTTCCACGGGGTCAGTTTCCCTGGATCTGGGGGTTCGCGAAGGGCCAGACACGTTTCAGCAGATCCAACTGTGGAGGTTATTAGATGAACGGGCCCGAAGACGAACCACAAGAGGCTTCAAATTAGGATACACTTTCAGAGGTTTTAAAAGTACCTTTCCTTAACTGACTTTGAGTGTGTAGGACATCTACAGCCTTAGAAATAGAAATACGTAAAATTGTATTCAGTGAGAGTTCTCCCCTACCCCATGTCTATTCATTCCCCTCTTCTTTTTTCTGTGGTCTCTGGTTTTTGGGTGTCTCAGTTCTTTTGTGCATATGCAAGCAAACTTTATTATTATTATTATTTTTTATAACCCAAGTGTAGCATAGTATAGGACCTATTGTCACCTGTTTTTTTCCCCCTACCTAGCAATCTCTTTTCAAGATCTTTGCATCCCAGTACCCAGCAAGTGTGTCCATTTTTCCCTTTTCACGGCTGCATAGCAGCTCTTTGCTTGCATGCACCATAAGCTGTTTAATTATTCCCTGTGGGTGAGCATTTGGGTCATTTCAAATCTTGCTCTTACAAAAGATGCTACAAAGAATAACCTACTGACATTTTGCACGTGTGCAATGTTATTTTTAAGATAAATTCCCAGAAGTGAAGCCACTGGGCCAAAAGGTATATGCATTTCTAATTTTGATGGGTATTGCCAAATGGCACTCCGTAGGGCTTGTCCCAAGTTGCACTGCCACCAAATGTGGGACAATCTGGGTTTGGGGAGGGGTTGGGTTCCACAGATGAGTGAAGCAGAGACCCGTGGGATGAAAACAACCTTCCTGGACAAGTGTGGATGGAAAGGCTGGATCGAGCTGAGCTTAGACCCCCGAGGTCCGCAGAAGATGGAGAACAATGAACAGAAGGGTCCTGAGACTGGAGGAAAGGAACATGGGTCCATCTTCTCTTGTGGAGCAAAGTGGGAAGTGTCGGATCAGATATGTTAGTGCAGGGTTTTCCAGTCCGAAGGGTCTGTTCCATGGGGAATCTTTTTAGATTCTGTCGGATGCAGGAGTCCCAGGGTGAGGGGGTGGAAGTGGGGCTGGGAGGGAGAGGCCGGGCTGCAGTGGTGGAGCTGAGGGCAGGGAAGAAGGCAGCATGTGGCCAGGGGCAGGACCGGGAGGGTCAGGGAGGACCTGTCTGCAACCTCGGAGCCTAGCACACGGCCTGGCTCATAGTGGGTGCTCAGGAAACATCAGAGATACCAACAGCCAAGGAACCCGGACGCTGTGAAATTCCTCCCCAGAAATCTGAGAAGTCCACCTGTTGGTCCCATGACCAAATATGACTGGGACAGGGTGCCGGTGGGGGTGGGACCAGACCCATCTGCTGTCTTCAGCACGGCCTCAGTCGAGTCAGATCTGTTCTTTCATCCTGTCTAAATTGTTCCCTTGCAAAAAGTCTTCTCAAAGTCTTCGCTCAGTCAACAAATATCTGTGGAGCATCTACTGTGGGCCCGGCTGTGGGGCTCCAACAGTAAGCGGTCAGAGCCCCTGCCCTGGTGGAGGCGAGACAGGCACCCCCACGGAGGCATGATCGCTGGCTGTGCCCGGTGCCAGAAAGGAGGAGAGGGCTGGGCTCTGTGGGAGGGCGGTCAGGGAAGGCTTTGCAGGCACGTGACGTTTAAGCTGAGATCTGCAGGACGCTAGGTGTCAGCAGGTAGAGAGGGAAGAGCAACCCAGGCAAAGGGAGCGAGCGATGTGTGCAAAGAGGCGGGAAGAAGTTTGCGTACCTGCAGAGGTGGAAGGAGGCCAGGGCGGTGGGAGCTCAGGGGAGGAGGGATCAGGTGGGGCAGGGGAGGTGCGCAGCGGCCAGAGCTTGCAGGGCCTGGAGGCCACGCCAGAGCTTTATTGTCTTATCCAAGTGCAACTGCAAGGCATTAATTCAAAGCTTTAAGCGAGGAAGGGATGAGATCAAATTGATGGCTCAGCTGTTGCTTCCTAGAGCCCAACATCTTATATATTTGTGAGTGATAGATGACACATTGTGGGATGACGTGGCAAGACAGCACCTAAAGCCATATTGTTCTGGTCACTCTGAAGTCACTCCCTCTCAGCAGGGAGGCCCCGCTGCAGCCAGTGGGCCAGTGTCTCCCGCAAACAGCCTGGAGTCCAGCTGTCAGCAGAGGCAGGGGCTGTGGGAACTTTTCCAGCGTGTGTGCGGAGGAGCACAGGACTGTAATAAGTTTACTAGAAAAAGGGGAACTGAGATCAAGCTAAGCGGAGTGAAAGTGAAACAGAGCACTTTGCAGCAGGACTTCTCAGAGCCTTTGATGGGCATACGTGCCTCGTGAACCTCAAAGAACGGCCTAGAATGCCGCATGTTCCATACTTACTTTGAAACTTTGGCTTTCATTGAACGTTTTGCTCTCAGAATCACTGAGACACCCTGCTCTGTTTCCTGTTTGCATTTCTAGGGCATATCTGCTAACGAACATGCTCAGTTCCTTCTCTTGAAACCCACATTTGAGAAACAAATCCATCCTCTTCCCCAATGGGGAAGCACAGCACTGCAGTGTCTTGTATCTGGAGTGCAGAAGGGTCCTCGGCGGTGAGTTTGGATCAGCCAGCTAATCACGGGGGGCCGCCTGGCAGATTGTGAGGGGTCAGCCTCTGTCACTCTCCGGCCCATGTCTTACCTTCAAGACCACCCTGCCCGGCCTAGCTAGGAAATGTCATCAGCAGTGGCCACCTGTCCTTGGTCCCTCTGTTTTTCTCATTCTCTCATTGGCTTTGGTAGAAATAAGAAGTCAATTCCCTTAACCAAGAACTTAGGTGTCCTGTTCTATGAGGAGGCAGTAGCCTGGCATTTCTGGTCCCCAAGTCTATTTTATTTTTTTATTATCATTTTTTTAAACTGAGGTATAATGGACTCCCAGGTCATTGCAGGGGCTCCCAGCAAAACGTGCCAAGGCCCATTCATCTTCCTGCCTCTGTTTGAAGTGCGAGCTGCCACTGTCACCGTGTTTGGTGCTATCCAAGAGAACGTGGCCATTTCTGTCCCCCTGCCCTGGTGTTCTGACCCTGGCGATGTGAGGAGAAATGCCAACAAAGAGAAGTAACCCCACGAAACATTTTTCTGGAGGTTATGTTTTTATTCTACATTATTGGTGTGTCAGGGAACGGGGCCGAGTTTCCACCTCCATGACCCCACGGGCAGACCGACGAGGAGAATTACATACATCTAGAGCGGGCACAGAGCTGGGGCCAGGTTTTCCTGGGAAGGAGCCGGAAAGTCTCAGGCCTAGGCCACGGGAGCCAGGCCGACCTGGTTGTTGGCCCTGTCAAAGACGGTGAAGTACTGGCGGATGAAGATGTCGCCCAGGATCCAGAGCTCTCCGGAGGCGGTGGGGAGGTTCATGCCCTGGAAGCCGCTGGCACAGCCCTGCTGGCTCTGGAGAAGAGGAGAATGAAACCAGAGATGGGACACAGACTCAGCGGGGACAGGCGCGCGGAGACTACGCCTCCAGGGCCACGGTCCACGGCGAGGGACGCGTGGAGAGGAGCTTCCTGGCTCGTGTCCAGGGCCCGGGCCCTTTTGGCTGGGGTCTGCCTGTAGAGGCTGTTCACGGCACCGTCGGTTTCCAGGGATTCCTAGACACTGCCTGGTGTTTCTGGCAGGTGCACAGACCCTGACATCAGCACCAGAGCGAAGGGGTTCAGGGAGAAAGCTACCAGGAAGGATTCGGGGAGCCCTGGTGACACAGCCTTTTCTCATTATCCTGATCCCGTTCAGTGACAAACCAGGTCAGCTGTTAGTCCTTTTCATTCACCAAGGTTGTGGGCGCCTTGAGTACATACTGGAATCACTTAGGAAGCTTTGGAAAACCCCACCGCACAGGGCTAGCCCCTACTAATTAACCAGTGTCGCTGGGGGAGTGGCTCGGACATCAATACTTCTTGCCGAAGAGCATCGGACCACTGGGCAAAACAAGCTTTCCTCCTGGCACCGTAGTAGAAGGTAAGGTAGCTCATCTGGCTGAAGATTTGTTACTTGGCAGAGACAGTAGGAGCAATGTTAGCCTTGACCCTATGCAAGTTATGATTTTCATTTGCTCTACAGTTAATGGCTTCGATGTGGTCAATCTTACCTGGTTCCCCTAAACCACACTCGAATCAACAGCCTTGGAATTGAAACCTAGGCTTGAACTCAGGTGTTCAACTAGAAACTCTTTTCATGCCACCATCATCTGCCTTACTTTTGGGGGTGGGGTGGGGACTGTATCCAAATTCTCGCTCATGCATTTATTTGTAATGTATTCTATCCCTCTGGAGGCTGTCCAGAGCAGGTGCCAGCTGCAGCCTGTGCAAAGCGGGAGGATGTGGCCACATCCCACGAGCACATTGAGGCGGAAGGCCCAGGGCCCCTTTACCTGCAGGATGTAGGCACTGGGGGGCAGGGGGTACTGGATGCCGTTGATGGTGAAGACGATGTTGGGCAGGTTGTTGATGGCTGAGCAGCTGACCACCATCTGGAAAGAGGGAGGGTCAGAAGAGCTGCATTCCCTCCACATGGCAGACTCACCGCCTGGGTCTAGACCAGGGCCGCCAGGGCTGGCTTTACCTGGCCATTCGAGTCCCGGCTGGCTCCGATGTAGCTCTGGATGTTGGCAATGGCATTGGTTGGGCCAGCCAGCAGAGAGGTGCCGGTGTCAACAATGGCCTGGCAGCTCCCGCTGCAAGCGATGGTCTCGCCGTTCATGGTGATGCTGTGGGCGAGATGCAAGTAAGGGTTTCTGTAGCGCCCCCCGGGGGCACATCTCCCCAAGGAGAAACGAAGTGACTCCAGAGGGTCCCTCTTCCCCATCCATTGGCCAGTACATAAAATGTCAGCTTCTCTCCTTCAAGCACGCATTCGTTTATGCATTCATTACTCCACAACCATGTACTGAGCGCTGACTCTGCACTAGACCTGGGGGACGCAAAGCCAAGCAGGACAGCCGCACAGTTTCTGGCTGCAGGGAGTTCACAGTCTAGCCGGAGAGATAAGTTATGGTTGAGAATGGGCAGGCTGAACAGGGCACATGGCAGGGGAACAGAACCACAGTCCAGCGTGAGGGTGGTGAGGCGAGGAGCAAACGGGGGAGGGTTCTCAGGGAAGCAGACGCCCAAAGATGGCAAGGAGGTGAAGAATTGGAGGAGGACATTGCAGGTCGAGGGCATGGCACGGGGGCAGCCATGGAGACAGGAGTGGGGGAGGGGGGAGGGAGTTGGAAGAACTGATGAAGTTACAGCTTGTCTGGGACAGTGTGTCCTGGTTTAGCCAGGACTGTCCTGGTTTTAGTGCTGAAGATTTTCACGTCCCAGGAAACTGCTCACGCCTGGGCAAACCTGTGCGATTGGTCCCCCTAGCTGGCCCGCGGGGGAGGGACAGCTGGAGAATGACGCTGCATAGGCGATGGGCAGGCTCCGAAGGAGAAGCTGGGACAGAGCAGAAGGGCTGAAACAACTTCTCGGTCATTTTGTCCTATCCCCAGACTAACAGTAACATTGTTCCCGGAATGGGAGGAGCATGTGCCAGTTCACAGGTCCCCTACATGTTGAGATATGTGGAGAGCCAGGTCCTCCAGCTCTCCCTGGGGCTGCTAGTAGACTGTCCTGCCTCTGTGACCAGAAGGAAAGTGGCTGTCTCATCCCCTCTGCAGAGTGTTTGGGGGCTCAGACAGCTCTCCTCCTCCAGGGACGTGCCTGTCTCAGGGTCTCTCTGGCTTGGCCAACTCCCACCTTCTCCTCCAGGGATACAGTTCCCCGTGCCGGCTGTTCCGGCGGGGTGCTGGAAAGCTCGGCTGACCTTGAGTCGACAAAGAAACGGGATCTGGGGCCCATGCTAGGATGTCGCCCGTCCACAGTGACCTCACCTGTCCACGGTGATCTGCCAGTAAGTCTCAGAGGAAAGAGGCACCCAGTTCAGGTTTCCAGTGTAGTAAGAAGAATCAATGCCACCAAACATCACCACGCTGCCACTCTGGTCATTGCTATGAAAAGTGGGGTAAAAGAGAGGAATTCATTCTTTCCTTCACTCACTCATTCAAGTGAACATAAACTACGTGTATTCGAAGAGCTACTTTTTTTCTTTTTTCTTTTTTGCTATGGAATTTTGCTCTCTATTTTAAGTGGCTTCACTTTGGTCTCTTGCCAGTGCCAGGAACTGTGTTGAGTGGGTGACAGACGGGATCTCTGTAATCCGTATACCAAGGCCCCTGCCGTGGCCACAATGATTGTCATTATTTCTGCCTTACAGAGAAGAATAGAGAGGTGAGGCAACTTGCCCAAGGTCACACAGCCAGGGAGTAGCAGAAGCAAGATTAGGACCTAGGTCTTTCTGGTTCCAAAGTATGTGAAATGAATATGTGATAATATTTGCTCTTAAGGACTTGACAGTGTAGTTCTCATTCTCAGTCAGGGGCATTTTGCCCCCTGGGGACACATACCAATGTCTGGAAATGTTTTTGATTGTCATGATTGGATGCAGGTAGGGGCCATCACTGGCGTCAAGGAGGTAGAGGCCGGGAGGCTACTAAACACCCTACAATGCACAGGACAGCGTCTGACAGCAAGGAATTTTCTGGTCTAAAATGTCAGTAGTGCTGAGATTGAGAAATGATCCAGCTGGAGAGACAAGATGACCCTACAGGAAATATCTAAGTACCGGTAAGGACAGATTCTGTTTAAGGGCCGACCTGAGTATTGAGTGGCCGGTGGGGAAGGATAAAAGAGTCTCTCTGTTGGAAACCGCAGGGGTCCTTGTTACTGGAGGAGTCATTGTCTAAATCTGCACATTTGGGTTAGAAAGGGAAGCAAACGCTGATGATGAGATTAATTGCCAGAGAGCTGGCCACAGATAAAACAGTCCCTGCTCAGCTAACCCCACCCCACCTTCACTGTTAACTTCTGACCTTACAAGCGACCCAACATGAGAGAGCATCGCAGAGCAGTGGACAACTGAAGAAAAACATCAACCGTGACAAACTGCGTTCAAAAGAGAAGGATTTGGGCATCTCGGAAAAGGTGGAGACACCCTCAGATATTCTTGCCTAAACCTCTACTCAGCCAAAACCAATTTCTTATTTACTTTTCAGTCAGTCTTAGAATGAACTCACAGTCACAACTGAAACCTAGATTTTAACTAATAAAAGGAACTTGCATTCATCCTTTAAAAGTTTCACTGTTTAAGATATGTCTCAAACAATTTTTTTTTTGTTTCTTGCTATGAAATTTCAGCCACAATTTTAAGCAAATTCACTTTAAGTGATGGTCTTTGGCAGGGTCAGTGATGAGGGCACTGGTGCTGGGAAACAGAGGGCTAATGACATTGGAGTTGTGTAAGTCAAAGTGACAAAGACGCATGCTGGTCAAATAAGAGGAAGGAAGACGGCTGGTCACAGAGGGATTTGGTACTGTCCTCTCTAAAAATACACCTCTCATGCCTTAGGCCCCAACCTTTTTTTCAATCTCATGCTTGCTAAGACCCGCTTCATCCCCCCCAGCTCTGGCCAGCCCCTTGCTGGGCCAGGTGACCGTGGTCTCTCTGCCCCAACTTACGAGCTCAGGTAGACGGAGAAGAGGTCTTGGGAAATCAGGCCCTGGTTCCACATGTTGTCGAAGACGGGCGTGGCCCCCGAGGAGGCAATGCTGGGGTAGGCCAGGCCCAGGATGCCGTCGAAGGGCGCGTAGTACAGGAAGGAGCCGGGCTCCGTCTCGCTCAGGCCGAAGATCTGGTTGGTGTCAGCGATGCCTCCGACCTGGGTGGGGAAACCAAGTTGTTCACGGTCAGCGTGTGTCCACTGAGCTCTGCGCGGCACCGGCGCCGGGCCCGAAGCGTCCTGGCTCATTCTGTGTAGGACTCAGCTTCTGGGCGGCAGGCTGGAAGGACAGGAGAGGGGTCGTCCCTAGGAATACTTGTTATTCTGCTGGAGGTAACCATTGCGGCTGATCTCCAGATGGCCACAGTCTGCGACTTGGTGTGAGAATTTGCTGCAGAACAGATGGTCACCGTGTGCTTGTGCGTATGATGATCGGATGCAAAGCAGACCCCAGGCAAATCAGAGCCCTTGCCCCGTGCTGCGCCCGGGAAGGCAGGGGGGGGGGGGGGGGGGCTGGTGGAGCTTTAGTGACTGGGTGGGCGGGCTGCAGTGGGGGGCGGAGGAGGTGGTGCTAAAAGAGAACTGAGCCTTTTCTTACCTTCACCATAGCACTCAGCTTGGGTGGGGCTGAGGCTGGTTTATGGCTCCAGGCACCACCCCTTAGCCGCTACTGCCCCCTCTAGAAATGCCTGTGACCCCTCTGCTGCTTCGCCTTTCCCATCCCCCCATGAGGTTACTTTTGTGATCACCGAGACCCACATTGCTTGAATGAGCTGTTTCTGGGTGGCCCCCCAGAGGTCCCAAGGTTCCTGGAATCCGGTCCCAGGGCTGGGCGGGATGAGGTGGCCCACCGGCACGTGCTCACCTGGACGGTGTCGTATCCAAGGATGCCTGTCATGCTGCCGGTGCCATAGGCAACGGAGACGCTTTGGCTGGTGGCCTGGTAGGTGGAGGATTGCTGAGGGTTGAAGCGGTTGTGGTTGGCTGCGAGGGCAAGAAGGGACACTGTCGACCTCCAAAAGCTGATGGAGAGTCATGGTCCGGGGTTGTCTTCCTGGGGGGCGGTGCCTGCATTCTGGGTGGGTGGGGTGCTTTGGAGGAGGTGGGTGACCTTTCCCTAGATTTTGGAGCCCAAGCATTCCCAGGTTTCATGATTGTCTGGTTAGACCCGTTGGGACAATCTCACTGATGGAACATCCCCAGCTGGCCCTACCGTGCCCCCGAGGACGCCCCAGCCAAACACTGAGAGGCGCAAGCCCATGGCTGCCCACTTTTCTCCGCCATTGGCCTGAGCTCCTTGAGTACAGGGACTATGTACTGTGAGTACTGTGAGTCAGCCCTTTATCCTCCTGGCACTCAAGCCCAGTGCTAGGCACACAGTAGGTGTTCGGCAAATGCCTGCTGAGTGAATTCTGGAGTGGCTCCGGCAGGCTCGAAATGGACCCATTTGAAGCCCTCGAGTGTTCTGGGCTTCTGGGTCAGCGGGTGAGGGGCCCGGGCAGGGCTGGGCACTCACAGCAGGCAGGGCTGGAGCAGTAGACAGAGGGCACCCACAGGTTGGAGGAGCCGGTGTCGAAGATGACGGTGAACTCCTGCGGTGGGGTTCCGATGCCGATGGTGCCGAAATACTCCATCTGCCGGGCGGGATGGCACAACTCACCAACCCGGGGCTCCCCAGGGACCGTCTCTGGGACGGGTCCTCAGCCCACCCCCCGCCTTTCCCTTCACTGTTCTTGCCTTCCTTTCCCTGTTCTATGCATCAGCCGTTCAAGGCCCAGCGTGGTCTCCCTGCCTCCTTGGGGTCTTCCCTGGTTGTTCCCCAGTTCTCCTCTGATCTCTTCTGTGCACCATTAACACCTAATAATAATCTCCTCTCTCTTAGTCTCGCCATCGTAGCGGATGCATGTTCTTAGAGGACAGTGTGGAGCCTTAAAGCACCCGGTTCAGTGAATGCTTACGTCCTTGTTCATTAAATTATTGGCCAGGGATAAACAAGTCACTGAAAAATGGAAACCCTTCGATACATCTTCTTCCTAAATCCAGGTGTATACAGCAGGTTCGGAGAGAGAGCATCGTCAGGGTTTTTATTCTTGGTGCCAGCCACGCAGGCCTTGCTATTCTTTGACGAGGACAGCCTCATGTCCACCCCAGGGCATTGTACTTGCTATTTCTTGTGCTTGGAAAGTGTTTAGTCTAGACCTTCCCGTGGCTGACTCCTCCTCACTAGTTATTCAGAGCTCTAATCAATGCCACTTCCTCCAGGAGGCCTTCCCTGACCACTCTATCTAAGCTTGCCTTTTCCCATTATTCTTTTCCCCCTTACCCTAATTTATTTTTGTACCATGTATCATTCCCTGAAACTATCTTACATACTTATTTATTTGTCTCTTATTTCTCTTCTCTTCCAACATAGGAGCTCCAGGAACTTTGCTTATTCACTATTGTTTTCTCAGCTCCTGGCATAGCCCCTGGCACAGAGTAGGTGCTTCATAAACATGTGAGTAAATAGGCTAGCTTTACTAGGTGCCAGGCCCTGTGCCAAGTATTCCAAAAAACATTATTGTACTAGTTATTCATAACAACCCTCCGATAGTCGATATTAGTGGTTTTGTTTGACAAACAGGGAACTGGGGTCACTCAGAGAATGCAAATACCTTGCCCAAGGTCACCGGAACGATGAGAGCCTAGATTTGCACCAGCTCTGGCAGAATTCAGAGGCTAAGCTCCTAGTGACAAGCAACACTGCTTAGTGCCCTTGGCTCTGTGCCATTCGCTTAGGGGACACGTAGTATTTGACAAAGAACACTCGGAAGGGTCAGAGTGCTCTTCCTGTAATTTCAATCTGACCATGTCAACCACTTGTTCAGATGATTCAGTGACCATTAAGATGCAGATGGTTATCAGAGACTCTGTCTGGCTACTCCCACTGACCCTCCACCTCACTTTGCACCTCCCTCCCCCGGTCCCTCCCTCTCTGCTCTCTGTGCGCACTGGCTTCCTTTCCTCCGATGTGCTCTGCTCGCTGCTGTCATGGTGTCCAACACAAGCCCTCCTGCTCTCTGGGACTCTCTTCCCTCCTCTTGGAACTCTCGCCCTTCCTTCATTGCTCCAGGGAGATGTCCCTGCCTGCCGCCTGCCACCTGCCACACTGGCACAGCATGCCACCTTCATTGTAGCCCTCGCCTGGCTGTACTTCTCACGGTTCATGGGGCTCACAGATCACTGTCCGTTTCTCCCTACTAGACTGTGAGCGCCGAGAGGGTGGGGGCCATGCCCGGTTTTGCTCACTGCTGTTTCCCGGGGCCAGCACAGTGCCTGACACACAACGAGGTGCTCTGTATGCGTAACCCTGGATGAACAAACAAATGAATGACTGAGAGGAGCAGCTCTGACTGTGAGTTTTCCTGCCCTCCCCATGCCTCTGAGATCCAGGGAGCAGACCTCTGGGTGACTGCTGGGGGCTCAGAGTTTCTGGTCCATCTTCTAAGACCCCGGGCCCCCTCTCCCTCCTCCTGGCTAAGTCCTCGGAGCTGCCCCCACTGCCTGCCCGGCACTCACATCCATGTAGTTCTCAAGGGGCTGGGTGGCCATCATGTCGGCGGCCTCCTTGAAGTACTTGCTGGCAGGGTTGAGGCTGTGCTTCGTCAGGAAGTCCTCCAGCAGGCCATGCTGGATCAGGTTTTGCCTCATGGACTTCTTTCTGACAAGGGGAACCCTGTGGCAAGCATTGCAAAGTGATGGTTTGGAGGAGGAAGAATTAGGCAAGGAGCCTGCCCATCGGGTGCTATGGAAGCCCAGCAAGGAAAAGGAGGTTGGCCCAGAGAGGACAAAAGAAGGGAGTCAAGATAGCAGATGCTCCCATTTTGGGCACAGCAATACAAAGAGGCCCAGTGCTTTTTCCAAAGCCTCCTGGCCCCGTGAGGGAGCTGGCAACCAACCCCAGGTGGGCCTTGAGGAAGCCACAGGCTGCTGGGTTGGTCTTACATGAAGTGCTTTGGGCTTGGGAGTGTTTCAAAGTCTCTAACAAAATTCTGCCATTAGCACTTCATTCTGTGGAGTCTAGAGATTCTCATTTGAAAAGAGCAAATCCTCCCGAGAGAGTTATGCGGGGCTCTCTGTCCCGTACTCATTCATTTCAATGGATCCAATGTTCCTTTCCTCTGAGCAGTTAACCACGCCTGTAGTGCTGGCTTCCCAAAAGGGCAGAGAGAGCGAGCGAGTGAGGAAATGGGCAAGAGAGGAGTTGTGTAAGGGAAGGAGGAAAAGGTGAGAGGAAAGAAGGGCAATGCGGCAGGCAGCAAACTCACTTGTAGATGATACACTCAGAGATCGCCACCAAGCTGAGCAGCAGTAGCCACTTCATGGTTCTTCCCGGGGCCCAGGTGTCCAGAGAAGGGGAGGTGGTGGAAAGTGTAGGGCAGCAGGCAGGAGCGGCGCCTTATATACAGCCCAAGTGTTCAGGAGCGGATCTTATCACTCCTCAAAGGTCACCCACTCTCCTAACCCAAACAAAGTTTCTTGATAAGATTGTGCCTGCCCCTGAGCCATGTTCTGAGAAGCTTCCGGTACAGAAGCTTCCATTATAACCACTTCCCCCAGGTGGGATGGACCTGTCAAGAGCAAGCGATGGACTGGAGGAGTATTCCTTTAATAACGAAATGCATTATGTCTTGACAAGATGAATATGTTGACAATATTGGTCTAAAGTGCACTTAACATTTGACAGATGTCCAAGAAGCTCAGTGTACCCTGATTTGTCCCAGTGGGACAGACGGCTGGGGTTCTGGGAGAACAGCACCCCACTGAGTGATGGGCCATGTGCCTGTAGCTGTCACCCCAAAGCACATTCGTGGGTCAGTGGTTTGGGACTCAGGACATGTCCCTACAAAAACGTCATTATATGGGGCTATTGAGTGGCAACTGGGCCCAGTTCTGGAAAGTGGGGAGCCCAGCAGAGGAAGAGGAGAGGGCGGAGCAGGTGGGAGAATGTTGCCTTCTCTGAAACAGGCCAGCTGTGCCTTTGGAATCTGTGCCCCCCGCTTTCTGCCCCCTTCTCTCCCTGCTGCTCCTGTCCCACTGTCTCAGGTTGCTCGAGGCCTCCCCCTTTGAGATCCCGTGGGTCTGGCTCTCCCAGGTTCTCCATGATTGAAACGTGGCTGAATCAGCTGCAGTGAAGCCAAGCCATGTGGGAAAATTTATACCAGAGTGTGAATGACTCAGGAAGTCATTTCTCCTGAAAAGAAAGTCTTAAGAAAGGCCCTTCTTAAAAGAGGATGCTTACCAACCCAGTGGATGCTCTATGGGGTTTATTCAGTGGACAAAGTGGAGTGAAAAACGTTGATTCAGGACCCGTGGGGGTGGGAGGTATGGGGGTAGGGGGTCACCAGGAGCTAGTGAGCCCTATCTGCTGGTCTTGTTCTGAAATCAGATTCCTTGGGCCACTCCAGGTTTTCTCAGCATCAGGAGACATAGGTTCTAGGAAAGCTCCACATTTCCCCCAGTGCCTCTGAGTGAGTATGGAGGGATGGGGTTAGTACAAAACACATTTGTATTTCAAGGTCACCTGTTAAAACATGCCACGGCTGTGGATCCTTGACCCTTATTTTCCACTTTCACCCCGTTTGGTTCCTGCTTCCTCTCCTCCCTCCTTTCTTCCCCCTCAAGCCTTTCTTCTTTGAGCTACGCTCTCACCCTTGGGCTGATGGTCCTAAAGATGGCTGCTTAAGTCCTGGGAGCACCAGATGGAAACCCCTGGGTCACGGCCACACCTGCGAGAGAGGGAGGGGCATATGCTGGGGTGGGGGCTCGTCAGGGTCTTCAAAGGTAATTGGTGTCTCATGCTGGGCGGTGGGTAAATGGATGCTGACTGATGTTTCTTTCTCTCACATCAATGTTTCTTTCCCTCTCCTTCTTCCTCCCTTCCCCTCTCTCTAAAAACCAATAAATAAAATCTTTAAAAAAATTAATGGGGACAGAGAACAGGTCAGGAGCTGGGGGAGGAGATTGTCCACTAAGGGATATGGGGGAGCTTTTTGGAGTGATAGAAATATTCTGTCTCCAGACTGTACACCCGAAAAGATAAATTGCACAATAGACCTGTGACAATAGACCCAAAGCCCCCGACTTCCCAACAGGCGACACACTCAGCCAGTGACGGTCCCCGCCATGGGAGTGAAGAGAAAATTGGGGACTAGGCTCTGCCTGGGAAGGCACCGTAGAAGGGACACATTGGATTCATTTCAAATAAACTGTCACCATACCATTAAAGTTGGCGAGAAAGGCAAGAACAAACTGCTTATCGCTGCTGCTTCCATTTTTGTTCTTTGGAACCATGAGTCAATCTGCCCAGGGTCTGCTTTTCTCACCACATCGAAGGGTGGGAGTGACAAGCTGGCAGGCCAAGGCAAAGCTGGCTGGCGGCCAGAGTCCATTTAGGGGGGTAGATGGCGTCCAGGCTCCCCTGTGCACCCTGGAGCTGGCTTGTAGGGTTTGGAGTCTAAGAATGGGCATTGATTTTGAGGGCACAGCTTGTCTGTGGGGCCCTCATGGGGGTTTTGGACAGAGGAAAAACATGTTTGGGAAGCAGAAGGAAGGTTCCTTAGGTGATAACCTGCAGGCCCCATTCACACGTTCATTCAACACACTTTTGTTGTGCACCTGCTTCATGCTGGGTAGACGTCGCTGGGGCTACATCCGTGAGCAAGATGGAAATGGGCCAATACCTTCATGGAGTTGCGGTTGGCTCAACAGAGGGCAGAAGGCAAGGCATCATTCCTTTCCACTCGGGTGAGTCTTGGGATCACACTAAGGGGAAGCTCTTGGTTTGGTGAAGGTAGCTGTCATCCCACAGTAGAGATTTTAACACCCGGAGGCTGACATGCTTAGTGCACCATTCTGGGTTTATGACAGACTTCGCGACGCTTCTCTCCCAATTATCCTTGTCTCTGGGTAGTCTGCTTCTTGTAATCCACTCCCCTTGAGCACACGCAGGACCTGTGACTTGCTGCTAACCAGTAGGATATGGCAAAGCAGATGGGGTGTCACTTTTGTGATTATTTTATATGAGGTGGTCACTTCTGTCTTTGTTTTGACCGTCTCGCCTGGTGGCTCTGAGGAAGCAACCGTGGAGAGGCCCACATGGCAAGGAACAGAGCGTCACCTCTAGCCAACAGCCGGGAACTGAGGGCCCCCGCCTGACAACCTGCAGGAACCTGAATCCTGCTGACAACCACGTGAGCCTCAGATGAGACCCCGCCCCCAGCTGACACACTGACTGCACTTGCGAGGGGCCCAGAAGCCGAGGACCCAGCCGAAAGGGGCCGGGTTCCTGACCCACCGAAACTGTGAGATACATTTTTGTTAAATTTATATTAATTCTTCACTAGCAATAAAAAACTAATAGAGGGTTTGAAACCTCCTAGAAGACTCCAGAAAGGCCCACCTGGCTGTCACCATTTGAGGGCCATTTCAGTGCCCGGCAAGGCAGCTTTCTGCTCAGGCGCTGTCAGCGACTGGAGGAGGGTGTCGGCATTGTTGGTCTGCTCTCTGCAAACCTCCAACAAGGCTTGCATTTCTGTGGCTCTTTATGCTCTTATGAGTGCTGTGAGATACAGGAGTTTTAAAAAATTTATTATTCCTGCCCTGGCCGGTGTGCTCAGTGGGCTGGAGCACTGTCCCATGGACCAAAAGGTCGTGGGTTTGATTCCCAGTTGGGGGCACATGCCTAAGAAGTGGTATGAGAAAGGTGAACTGGGGTCACAGAAGGCCCTGGGCTTGGGAGGGTCTTGTCCTGGGCTAGGCTCTGTGCCCACACACATCCACCTGGTTTCTGCCCATCTGTTAGAGTGTCAGGTGGATATTCTGCGATGTCTTCAGCCTTCATCGTAGGGCCACTCAGAGAAGCCATTCTACCCAGTCCCCAGAGGAGCTGTTGGGAGGAATGGTGGAATCCCCGGATCGAGTGCTCTCCATGGGCACCAACCGTCAGCCAGGGCTGATGGGTGGCTGCCAGCAGGGAGCCAGTGCAATCTGAGTGGGCCAGACCGGCCTGGCAGAAAGATTAGACAACAACGTTTACTTTGCCATTAGCCCTGCCTGGCACCGGGCTTTTAAGGACACTGGGAACTGCATCACTAATGGAGGGCGGCCCCTGACAAGGGCGCAGGTGTTCAGAAATGTTCTGTGAGCATATCAAATCAAGCAATGGAATGCAATCTAAAGAACCCGACCACGGCGAGGCCGGGATGGCGCACGTCCGTGCGCCGAGTGTTATCAGGTGGTCAGATAGGCCTGGGACGGCTGGTCCCCTAGGAATTTTCCATTAAGATCTCAGCCCAGCACTAAGCCTTCCAATAACCCAGGGAACGTGTTTCCTCTCCCCGATCCCAGACCTGTGGGGCGTCTCCAGGGATGGGCACAAGTTTTTAAAATTAAATTTGTAGTAGCATGTTTGGCCCAAGTATACAAATAATGCATGCTTATTGTAGATCATTTACAGGTAAATTAACATTTTAAAATGACTCAGTCTCATTGCCCAGGACTATCTACCATTAATGCTGTACATGAATGTATTTATTTACTTACAAAAATGGGGCCATACAGTATAGCACACACTGTTTTTGCAAATTGCTTTCTAAAGGAGAATTGAGTGCTCATGTATTTTCCAAGTGATTTCTTTTATAAAAAAAGATTTTATTTATTGATTTTTAGAGAGAAGGGAAGGGAGGGAGAAAGAGAGGGAGAGAAACATCCTAGTGAGAGAGAAACATTGATTGGTTGCCTCTTGTGTGCACCCCAACTGGGGACCAAACCTGCAACCCAGGCACATGCCCTGACTGGGAATCAAACTGGCAACATTTCGCTTTGCGGGATGTCACCCAGTCAACTGACCCACACCAGTCAGGGCCCAAATGAATTTCTTGTAAATCTACATCATCATTTTTAAAACTTTTCTTGAAATATAAAATGCACACAACAACGTGCATGTCATAAGGAATGGCTTGATGAGTTTTCACAAACTACACATATCCATGTAACCAGTACCAGGTCAAGAAACAGTATTACAAGGACCCCCAAAGTTCCCTCAGGCTCCCTTCCAGCCACAACCTGCCCCCCCCCCCCAACCAAGCATAATCACTACTCTCACTTCAAACAGCAAAGACTAACTTGGCTTGTTTTTGTACTTTAGATAAATGGCACCACGTAACAAGCATGCTCCTGTGTCCAGCTTCTTTGCTCAAAATTACATTAGTGGGAGTCACTACAAATGTTGGGTTGTGTGTAGTTACAGATCGGTTGTTTCCATTGCTGTATGTCATTCCACTGTGTAAATTGACATTTCATTGATCCCTTCTCTGGCTGATG